CTCTCTCTCTCTCACACACTCACACACACTCACACAATGCGGCTTCAAGTGACATGCAGATCGCAGAGATGCAGAAGCAAGTGCAGCTTGCCAGCCAGTCCAGACAGTTCCTGTGACGCACTGGGCGTTGCCTTCACATCTACCCCGAAGTTGCGCCTTGCTTTCTGGTGCTTGGCCCGTTAAGTCATCCGAGGAAAGAGAACGTGAAGTGAGCTCCCGAGCTGTTTTTGATCTGTGACTCGTGACTGACATGCAATGCGCGTGGATTCGCCTGCATCCAGGTTTCAAACTGAAGCTGATGACCAGTGCACAGCTTGAGCGGAGACAGTGCTTCGTCGGAGACCAGCTTGAGACTAAGGAGGCAGACGCAGGTTGTCCTGAAGAAGGCGGTGAAGGCCGCTGAGCGCTGGAGCAAACTGCGGAAGCGCGACTGAGCGTGACTGTGAGTTTCTGGACGACTTCTACAGTTCTGCAGAGAGGCCGAGCGGTGTACTTTAGGGGTGTGGCCTCGCTTGAAGCGTCCGAGTTTGGGCCTTTCTAAGCCTTGAGGGCTTCGCTGGCTCAGATCCGAGCTCACAGAGTTGACGGGGCCTGCTAGACACCTTGTGGAGTGTTGCTGGAGCTGACAGATGTGAGGTTCAGCCAGAACTCGACAGCCCGGAAGGCTTTGAGGAGCAGCGGATCCCTCGCTGCCATGCTGTGTGTATTGCCGCACTTTTCTGGAAACTCATACCTACTTAGTTGAAGCGAAAATTCGAGGCTAAAGCTAAGTGGAAATTGCATACAAAAATCAAATGCTGCACGGAGACAACATTACTTTGATCAAATCCGAAGATGGAGGCAACGAGCGCACGCAGTCCCTCCAAACCAAATCTTTGACCGTTTGACCGGCCCTGGTCAACGTACATGGCTAAGTCGCTGGGATGTATCTCAGTCCGATTGAAAGGCGTGACTTCACTGGCGCTGTTGCGGGCGGCTTTCTTGCCATGGAGGAAACTCTACGTGAGCGAAACCCTGGAACCTAGAATTGCAAGGACCAGCCGCTCTTGAGATTAATAGGGTACCAATCGCCAAGAGTGCAGCTCACTGAAATTATCTTTACAAAACTCCGGCATTGCCTGCGATCAAGGGAACTCTTACCCGAACCCAGCGAACATCAGCAGGCACAGCCAGTGTCGAACGTGATCGCTGCTACCATTATCTGCATCGGTGCCTGCGATGTGTACTTCACTTCACTCCTGTCTTGCGCATCGAAGGTTTTAAAAGTCACACTGCCTATGCAGCCTGCAAAGGAAGACCTGGAGATTCACGGAGGTTCTGTGAGACATTTGTTGCGGTCTACGTCCTCTCGCCGGGAAGCTTCGAAGGTTCTTTTGATGTGTGGTTCTCGTCTCGGCCATGCCCGTGGGCATTGATACATGGTCGGCTGCGAAGCACTTATTTTCTCTGTGGGATGTTCATTCATGAAAGAGTTTTTGAGTCCGCGTGTGTCCATCTTCCCCGGCGATTTCATGCACGCTTTTGAGAAATAATTTGCATTTGGGATGTCGTCTTTGTTCACGCGGGCGTTGGTTGCCGCAGGACTACAAAAAGAGTGCCGGGGGCGCATCCGACTGGACCTCAGCCAAGAGAAACTGTGGCCAGTGGCTTGCTTTTTTTGGCAGACCTGCAAGTTATGGGGCTGAGGCTACTGGACTGATTGAGACTATCATCGCGGACTCCGCAAAGCTGGAGGTTTCCACTCTTGTTTGTGCTGGTCGAGATCAACCGTTCTCAGACATGGGTAGAAAATGTGGCAATCGGGAGGCTGAAGCAGTTCAAGCTGAGCAAGATGCACAATCGTCGTTCCCACCTCAGTGCAGCGGAATCGATGGAAGAGCTGAGATGGGCGGAGCGTTTCGACCGCCTGGGACCGCATACTTCCGCATCTCTCTGAAGCCCAAACCTCGCCGTGTGTCTCGGGCAGGTACGAAAAGTTTGTGGCCGAAACCGCGGAAAATATCAAGGCCGGGTGAGCATGTCTGGATTCAGCCGATGGTATCTATGGCAACGTAGAGCAAGGCAAAGACTGCACAAGTTGACGGCAAGACGAAGGAGAAGGCCTTAGTCATGCATCACCTTCCAGCATGGCATAATTCGGTGAACTCTGCCGGGCTTCGCCACAAGTTGCCCCCTCAGAGTAAAAATACGTCCAAGCCTGGAGAGCAGGCAGACGCAAAGAATGATAAGGCAGAGGCGGGTGCAGACTCAACACAAGCAGTGCAATTCAAGCTTCGGGGGTTCTTCACAACAAGCAGCCTGCAAATGCTTGGTGTCTCGCTCCGTTGCACGCGGCCCAAGCCTTACGCCGTGTGCCATGGATCAGCGCGAACCAGCTGCGGGGTACGTGACAGCCGGACACAGCCCAGGCTGCACCATCGTGTTGCCGTCGTTTTTTTAGAGACAGTCTGGTCTTTGCTGCAACTGTGCATCTTCAAGTCTTCATGAATCTTCAGGGGCCTTCCCATCCTTCCTTTCCTGTGCAATTGAGCTGGATGCAGGCTGCGAGGTCACCTTCTCAGTCCGTGCCGAGACGAGCTTTGGAGACCGGATCGTGCAACTTGGCGTGACCTTCGTGCTCATGCGGAATCCTTCCAACATCTCGGCTTTTCTTCTCCCCTAATGAAAAGCAAGTCGTTCACCCCTGCATGCATGAACATGTTCTCTTCTGTTCGTTCTGTTCTATTCTGTTCTGTTCATCTTTCATGAATGTCCTGCGCTCTAGCTCTTCAGGAGCTTGTAGCTGATATCTTTGGTCGTATCCTTGATGGGTCGGCGAAGACTTTCACGGCCATATGAATGGATTGCTCATTTTACTGCTTCTTGTTGTGGTTGTGCTGGCGGTGGTGACAGTTAGTTACCAAGGGAACAACCGGAGGCTTTGCAGGAAGCTCGACATGACCCTTGCCAGACTGAGGCTCGTTGGAAGTGGAGATGCATTGGGGAACTGGAATCCTTGGGACGGGAGCATTGAGCTCACAACGACGGAAAAGGTCTCGGGGCAAAAGCAATTTCCGACAGCATATCTTTAGACCGTAGGCTTCGTAGACATGATGGAACTGTCAGTGTGCTGCTGCTAAGGATTACCCGCTGTGGAAGTCCATTCCGCTAAAGCTCGGAAGTAGTGGAGTAGAATACAAATACGACCCTTGCTTGCATTTGCCTCAAGAGAATTCGAGACGTTCTCGCCCGGCATGACCAACAAAGGTGCGCCTCAAGGGTGACGGTGAGGCAGTCTGGGTGTCCAGGCTGCAGTCTAAACACCACGTTCCACTCATGCCGCCCCTTGAGAGCAATATGCCTTCAGTGTCAATCACTTGCTACGTTTGAGTCTGTTCACAACTTGAAGCCGGGAAGTGACTCCCACGCCTTTCATCATCCGTGCAGGATGTGCAGGCTAGAATGGCATGGCTGACTGCCACTTGGCCACACGTGCACTGAGGAGTTTGATGGGCACAATCGCTGCGTGTCGCCGGACGCTATGACGACTTCGTCTGTCGTGGATGACGGCGACTTTGGTGCCTTTGCTGATTCGGGTGACTCACACAGTACCTGTGTCCTGAGTGTGAAGCACGAAAAGACATGATCGAGTGTTGCTCTTGGAGGCAAGCATCTTGAACAGGCTTCAGCCTCAGCCTTCGTCGGCCTCGTGTGTCCTGAGGTGAAGCATTGGAGGAGGCCTTTTGTTATCCCCAGGCGAGGTCTCCCTGAGTCTCTGCAGCTGAAGAGCCCGGGATATAGCTTCAAGAATGACGGACAGGCACTTGCAAACAAGGAAGATCGAGGCGCCAGTTTCAATCTGCCTGATGGAAATGGAATGCAGAGTCTCGCCTGCAAAACCTCCTGCACAGACCAAGATTTGTATGCTGGTGTGGCCATGCCTTTGGCACTTTCGGGCGCCAGGCTCGTAGTAATTGGCGATGACTCTGCCGTTGGACACGGAGCGAGAGGGTACAACGGTTGGGCAGCACAGCTCGGCAAACTGTTGAATCAGCAGTATGGCCACTCGGCTGAGGACGTTAACAGCGTCGGCACTTCCCGATGTTTACCCGCCATTCAAGCATGCAGATTGTCTGAGGCTATGGCTACTCTAATGCCGCTCAAATAGGATCGTGTGTTCAGGCACCCCATGCTGCCATCCCTGGTATGCTGATTTTTATGCTCTCCCGGACAATCATGCCAGGAGACTTTGAAGAAGGGTCTTGTGAGCATGCTGCCCCGTCCGACCCCGCAGGCCATCTCTACTCTATGACATGGCATGACTTGCATCCACAATGCTTTGCTTTCAAGCACCTGCCAGGTTGTAATTTTCGGATTCAGCATGGAGCTACGATGGCTTGCAACCTGCCCAGCGCCTTGCTGCATTGCTGGATTGTTGATGACAAGGAGGTGCCGGCATCTCTGATCAGGAATGGGACAGAAAGACGATCTACGACAATACCATGAAGGCCATTCTACGGGCGTTGGGCGGCCTCACGGGGCTCATGAGACCACTTACTAACAGGGAAATCAGCTAGAGTTTTTGTGGTATCGCGGCATCTCCCCTGTAGGAGTTTATGTCCCCTCCTGCAGCTCCCTTGGTATAGAGCATACTGCATATGAAGTGCTGAGGCCTTTTCAGCTCTCGCTGCAGATGCCTGGGACCTGGGCATTATGCCTGTCTTTGCCGGCCTCACTCCGAACAGCGGCTTCGAGAAGGAGCAGGATGGGGGCTACCCAACCCTGATGATAATATCAGTAAAATCAGTTGAAATCTCTCGGCAAGATTCAGTAACCCCGTGCTTTTCCTGACGGCTCTAAAATCTTGCTGCCACTAACGTGCGTGTGTGCTTGGTCTGCTCATGTAGACTGGTGCTCGACGCTTGTAAATCCCGGTACCCGTCGGTCAGGCGAAGCTGCTTCGAGATGCCGATGGTGAAATGAAGGGCATGGGTGTTCCGGTGCTCGACTGGCTGCATGCAATCACCAAGGGCGGAGACAAGTTCGGGACCCCACAGACTCTACTCAGCTTGAAGTTGCGCAGCCGCGGTGCAACCACGTGTGCTGTCTGCAGGACTTGGACTGAGGGCTTGGCCCACAGCTCAATGCATCCCAACACATCAGGCCATGAGAAAATGTTCTCTGCAATCGATATCAACATCTTCGACCCCCAGAAGGTCCACCTGCTGATGGTCTGAGACACTTTTTCGGCGAGACCTGCGACAGCCTTCGCAACCTGTGTCCAGGTCACAGAACTTCTGCAGAAGCGCGCTGCTGATCTGAAAGATGTGACCAGAGAATGCTTCAATGATGGCAGGCCCGATGGTCTTTAAGTCATACCATATTAGCAGGTCCTTATTGTTTACCGGAGTAATTACCGCTCATGGAGTGATGCGCCGCAGAGAGGATTTGATCGGAATTGACTTCTCCATGTCCTGATTCCTCTCGCTCGGTTTTGCCTGTTTAGTGCAGATATCCCGCACAGGAATTGGGAAGACTTGTGAGAATGTACATGAAATCGACCAATGGTGAGGGACACAACTTGGACGAATCTGATTGTACTCGGAACAGGCCCTTTCTCAACAGCGTGAGCATTATGAGCATGTGAGTGCAACGATCTCCTGCCAACGCGTAAGATGCTCACCCAATTTCATGTGATTTCGTTGTTCTCACGGGATGGTGGGTGCAGATTGACGATCCGAAAAAAAAGAATTGCGCACCGAGTTCAGACAAAAAGTCTGGAACCTTGTAGCATTTTCTCAACTTGCAGTTCGGTAGCCTTGCTGACAATGAACCACAATGTGGTTGGTTGCAAATGCTAGCGGTAACCTGTAAAACGATCGGGGACACCCTAAAGACAATACCCTCAATACAGCAATGCTGCCATTGCAACCCTGAGCTCCTGGTTTCTTTGAAGAGAGGGTGTCGGGAGTCTAGGTTTTAGTCAGGTTGTAGAGGTTATTGGGATGGAATTGTTGGAAATGAGACGACGTTCCAAATTGGACAGAACGATACCCGAACGGTACCCAAAATGTAGTCTAGAGTCGCCAAGAAAGCCCTGTGGCCGCTCATGTGTTGCCTCAGCACTACTCCTCGGATCAGAAGCCCGAACGCCCCAAAACTCAAGACTCCAAGCATCTTCAAACTCTCGAAATCCTAGAAGCTTAAAGCCCGAGCCCTACACCGACTCTCCGCCTCACAGCAAGCTTCGCAAGCTCTCAGAAGCCAGTTCTTCATGCTTGCAAGATGCCGCCCAATCGAACACAGACGAAGGCCCCAAGGACGTTAAAAGGCCCCAAAGACCGCAACCCAAGGCCACACCCTGGAATGCTGCATGTTCTATACTATACTGTACCTCCCCTACTCTAGAGCAGTGTATCGTTTGTTCCAGTATGCTTGAACGTGCAAACATTGTAAACCGACAGGGGACGCCCTAATCTAAATACGAAACTGGCATAAATATCATAAATAGGTAATTTCGACACTGGCCCACATGATGGCTTGCGTGTGTTCACCTTTCCCGCCCACATGCTGTGCAAAATGGCCGAAAGTAGCTCCACGTGTTTGCATGTGTTGCCTGATATCGGCTGTTTTGCACCTCAGTACTTCACTCAACTATAGCCCTCCCACTGTGAGGGCAAACAACACTGCGTAGACTTACAAGGGCCACGACTGTACGGTGCGGCTTGTGAAGGGCTTCTCCTCACCAATGTCGAACAGCTCCACGCACTGCCATGCCTGTCCAGTGCTTCCGTAATCGACATGCCGCGTCCAGCTCCAGTCCGTTGCCAGTGCAGTGCCAAGACTGCTTCATGCCTGAGCGCACCCCGAACACCTTCGCTTGTGGAACGCAGCCCGCGGCTTCCCTGCCCCGCCCCTGGCCCAAACCAAGATTTGGCCGGTGAATGAGCTGAGCACCGCATGCTGTGCCCACTCCAAACAACAGCTGAGCTCGGGCCGAAAGCCTTGCCTCGGGAGGTTATGACATCAGTACTGAGGCCCCCCAGAAAGCCGTCTATTTGACCAAATACGTTGGACAGGTTTCTGTGACGCAGTTGCATCCATTGATATCGGTGCTGCCCCGCCGCCGTCCATTCCATTCCATTCCTTGTGAGTCCCTACGCGCTCGCATCGCATCGGGCTGCTAAGTCTTGTGATTCAGTCAGCATCACGCGAGCCAGTTGCATTGGTCTGGATCAGAGAGGCAGGGTCCAGAAGGCCTCAATAACTTGGGCTTGGCCACTCCTCCATATACAGTACCCGCAAACTGTCACTATGGCTTGTGTTACTTTTACTCAAAGGAGGCCAGCATTCGACAAAGACCTCACCTCAAGTCAGCTTTGCTGATTTTCTTTTGAGTTGCAGCTATAGCCATTGCCCAAAACTCGTTGTTGTGAGTCGAGCAGATTCACCCTGAGGGGCTTGATCATCAGTTATCATGCAGAGCGAAAGGAGCTGATTGATGCTTGGCTCGTCATGGTGACTGGGGTACCCTTTCTTCGCCTTGAGGCATTCCAAGAGACCGGGGGTCTTAGGAGTTGAAGGCTTCGTGACACGAGCACAGCAGCGCTGTGTTTCGAAAAAGCAACCCCTGTTACACGATTGACAGTGGAAGTATTCACCATGTGCCGAGGATGTACTTCCAGCTCTCAGTACTAGTATTGTCCTGTAGTAGTTCTAGTGTGGTTTGCATGAGCGGTAGCAGTGGCTGTTGGATCAATGCCATTGGTGTTAGATTCTTCCTGCGAGTGGGAAGATCTTTTCAGAAGTAGGGTTGAAGAACTTGCCTTCTTGCAGATTTGCGCCGCAGTTGCGGGTCTTCTGAGGAGTTCTACGATTTGGGGCTTTCTGAGGGAGAAGGGCGCTTTCTACTGTCCTGGAGAGGTCGTTTTTCAGAGGCATTGCTTCGAGACGGGTTTCCTGAACGGCCCGAGAGTGTGAATATGCACTCTTCAATGACCCCAGTCTGAGGCCCACTCCCCACGAAGTCACCCAATGTACAATGGACTTTGGCAGACACATGGGTAGGTAGACTTTAAATAAATTCAATTACGGGTGCAGTTTAAGACTTTGAGACTCACGAATGCAAGCCTCCAAGGTCGAGAACAAGACAGACGACCAGCAGCTTGGCGCAAGTCCTGATCACTGATCTTGCTCACACTGCAACAAACCCCCTGGGACGTTCTATTCTGAGTTCAATCTGCCCAGAAGGCAGCATTCCGGCTAGTCAACCTTGGATCTCTACCGGTGTGCAGAGAGCAGCTCTTTTGTGAGGTACGAGTTGAATCCAGGTTGGGGAGACTTGCAAGCCAGCTTATCTGCAGCCTTCAGGCCTGGTTTTTTCATGGCTGTTTTCAGACTGGCTGTGCTCCTTTTGTAGCTCTGTCATTGCCACGCAGGGAAGCTCCGTGGTCGCTTCGGCGGGGTCTCTACTTAAGGCATTCGGATGATGAGAGCAGCCTCTTCTCCGTCTACCTCGGACCGGTTCTACAAAACTACCTCTGCAATCGCGTCTGCTGCTCCGTCGGTGGTCACCGGTAAGGGCTGGGCTTGAGGAAGGCATGCGTTGCCCGCACTGGCCGTCACAGGAGATTCCGGCATGCTTGGCTCCGTGGGCCAGGTGCCTCCGCGCAGTGTAGTGTCCCGCCTCAACTAGAGACGCGAAATGAAGCGAAGCTTCACTGTGACTGTCATAAGGCAAGGCTGCGGCACATCGGGCGGCATCTGGATGGCCTTCCAACGAAGAGCCAAGTCCTATTTTGTGATGAGAACCTCCAAGCTGTCAAGACTGAATCTGGACGCCTGCAGCTCTTCAACCAGGCAGCATGAGACTTGATTCAAAGGCACTGGGAGTGCTCTCGGTGCCGCAAACTGCTTCAGATTGCTTCGAACTATTGCTGCGGCTGCTGCTGCTGCTGGACGGTATGTGTTCTCATAGTCACCTCATGTCACACCTAGGCGAGTACAATGTGCATCCGATGTGGTATGATGTTCGCCAAGCGACAAAGAAGATGGAGCATGGCGTTTATGAGGACCTTTCAGGACAGCCTGCAGCAGCGACCAAATGCAGCAAAGCTGACAAGCTGTTGCAGTTCCAAAACGGACGCTGCCTGCAAGGACAGGCGTTTCGGACTGCGATTATCTCTTGCCATGGCCTACAGTCACGGGTCAAGGTGCCAGCGAGATCCGCAGTGGAACTGCGACGCGTTGGGGATCTAAAGTCCATCGACCAGGTAGCCGAGCCTCGGCAAGATGGGTCAAACTTCTTGCTCTGAGCAGGGTGGGCAGTCGGCTCGATGGTGTATTGGCGAGTTCGGGAGATTCCTGACTGGCGGGTAAGGGTAAAACAGTATAGGCAGTATAGGGGTCAGGGGCAGGGAGCCTAGTTCTTTGTTCCACATGTCTGCATCTGTGCATATGCACATGTATATGCAGAGAGATGCTGTTCTATGTCCGTATGTGTATATGTACACATGTATATATATATATATGTGTCGGTGTGTGTGTATGCCTGTCTTTATGCACGAATGTCTATATGTACGTATGCATGCATGCATGGATGCATGCATGCACGTACGTATACATATGGAACGCTTTTTTTGCAGCTGGTGCTTTTTTGCTGTTGTGTTTGTTTTTGTTGTCTGGGCCCGAACCACCACCCCCCCGCACTAGCAGCAAAGAAGCTAAGCACCAACAGCAAAAAACTAAGCAACGCACAAAGCTGTTGTCGTATAACTATGTACGTATGTATGTATGTATGTATGTATATATATATATATTAGTGTGTGTGTGTGTGTGTCTGCCTGTCTATCTATCTGTCTTCCTGCCTGCCTGCCTGCTTGCCCGTCTGTCTGTCGGCGACTCTCCTTTGCTGGCCCGGTGCTAAAGCCACTTGTCATGGCCGGCGTTAAATGCCCCGAGTCCTGCGAGTCCTGCCGGGTGCTAAAAGATCCGTGCGTGTGACTCGGGGTCAGACTCTTGTCTGCGGTGGCGCCAAAAGTTTTTAGGCACTCTGGATCGAGCCTGCCAGGGGTGTGCCCGCTTTCTACTAACGTCGATCCGGTTGTCCTCTGTTGTGGCGTCCTCCTGTAGGAGTTTTGTCTGTATGTCCTTGTTTGCCGCCATGGCTGCTTTTGCCGTTTCTGCGCTTCGTGCCTGTGCTGATCACACGGTTAACCTCTGTGTTGCACCCCAATGGAATGTGAAAGTGCGCCATCTGACTTTTTGCAGTGCAGTGGGTTGCACTGCCAATAGCAAGATTCAAGACGTGTATGTGTGGGCAAGTGATGTCGATGATGGCAGCGGTCTGTGCGGTGCAGCTTTCCTTGCCTATGTGATGCCTGCATTGAGTGTGTCAGTGTCATTCATACCGAGAGTGTGCACCTGCACTCCTTGACACATTTCGACTCGTGCGGGTGCACCGCATTCTTGGTGCTTGTGAGCTTGCGGCCGATGTTGCGGACCATGCTACGTTATGCCGAAGGTCACACGGGCAAAGAGAGTCGCGTGAAAGTGCGTCAATGCCAGGTGCCATGCGCCCAGTGACAAAGACAACAGTGGCATCCAAGTGAAGTGGTCTAGGTGGCAAATACGGCATGATATTATCAAGCAGCATAACATACAAGCCCGGTCCATCAAAGGGAAACTTCAACGAGTCCCTTCTTACCAATCCTCCACCTTCAGGCACTTTGAAGTGCTGGACATCAACATGTACAAGTTTTGGGTTTATGTCCGTCACATGTGCAGTAGGAAGGTTGGAGCGAGCAGACGTTGAGCTGCTCAATCTGGCATGGCTGCCCTTACCATTGCCTTTCGGCAGAAGCCAATTTCCGCCCATCGGAATAGGCTTTCAATTCTTCCGGTTGGAGAATGAGAGCAATCTTGAGTGACGCCCATGGGTTGTCACTACTTGTAGCCTGGCGGAGTGTGAAAAGCGACACCTTGTCAAGAATGGTCCCTATGCGATGCTGCAACACATCCTGCGGAACACCATGCGAAATTAGCAAGGTTGCCAGAAATGTCTTCAGAGACTCCACATCACGCCCGACACCACCCTGCAAAGGAAATGTCCGCATGCGCAAGACAGCACCACACCCTATGTCGCTCAGTCGCTCAGTAGCTGTGCATTTGTACACATGCGCCCGTGTTGGGACACTCGAAGCCACTGTGTGGTTTTTTTGGTAATTTCGGCAACGGCCAGCTGAACTTGCCCAACGGTGCAATTAGGAGCCACATCAAGCTGCAAGTGCTGACCGCTTGGATCGACGATCCGTAGCTGCACAGAACAAGCATTGAGTTCAACCGGTCGCACGCAGCGTCTTAGGCCCATTTCCTGCAAGGCCAAAGCAAGAACAAGCCAACTTCGCCGCAGGTGGCAATCGCCAACACGATACGACCAAAATCAACGACAACGATGCTCCAACACACGAACGGTCCTATCAGAAGACCTGTCACAATCACTTCAATGACAAAACGTGGCCACGGCATAGTGCCGAACCGCCACCTGCGAAAGAAGTGCCGCCCCCTGCGCATCGCTTTCATGGGTATTTCTTGCTTCTGGACTCTGTTCTGGAGGCGGCTCTAAGGGATTCAGGCACCAAGGGCGTTTCCTCTGCCCACGTTCGCCCGACAATACCCGTGATCATCGTTTTCGTGTCATCCCTTGTGTAGGCGTAGGCGCGCTCGAAGTGACAAAGGCTAAAGCTCACGGATGTGAACGAGCTCTTGGGCTCACACAGCTGCAATCTGGACATGGCATTCTGTTCAAACAGGGGTACTTTAATGAAGTGAAAGCCCAAGTTGCTCCTGGAGCTTTGTCAGAACGTGTTGTGGAGCCATCGAGCATGAAGTTCCTGGCGCTGAACTTGCCCAATACCCTCTCTGCCACGCAAGTGTCAAGTGCTTTGCGTGTGCTGGGGTGGTCATCTGCTATTGCAATCCGTCCACTACGTGCTAAAATTTGGCCCATTGGAGCAGATCGGAACCCTCCCTCTTTCCATTTCCGCTTGGGCGAATATACCGTGATGGTCGCGCCTTTTGATCCTACACACGGGCCGAGTGACCAGGTTTCGGTGTCGCAGGCATGCGCATCACAGGATGAACCCATGGAGCCCCAGTTTCCGGTGCAGGAAAAGTTTGACTGCCTTCAGATCTCGTTGCGGCGTGAGTTGCAATCCTTGCTTCAGGAGGGGTTGTCTGCGACTAACGAGAAGTTGGAGCAGAGGTTGTCTGCGTTTGAAATGATTGGCGCAAGTAACGTCGAGGCGATCGCTCAGGTTCAGCAGGCCTTGGTCGCGAATGAGTCTCAGGTCTGTGCCTCGTCGGGCTCAGAGCTTGGAGGCTGATGTGAAAGCCAGCCACTGCGACATGATTCATCAGATGAAGGAGTTGTTTGCTCAACATGACAGCCGTTTGGAAAGCCGACTTGAGCAAACTTTTGGTAGTCAACATGCACGCATTTCTGCTGTGGAGTTGGCTTTGCGGCAGAGAGATGTGCGACGGAAACCTGATGATTGCCACGATCATCCGCGTGCAGTTTGATGATGGTACCAGTGGCCTATGTGCTGCTTTGGCGTGGCAGGTGGCTCGTGTGGCGCTCTGTGTCCGTAAGGGGGTTGTGGTTGTTGCCAGCTGCCGACCCACCTACTTCAATTGTGACAGTAGGCGTTCTTCTCTGTCGCTGTCTGCCGACTCGTGTTGTTGGCCCTTGGAGCACTCAGCCCTTGCGGGAATTGTGACAACCGCCTTTCCAGCGTATCGGTGAAGCCCGCAGCCCGCAAGCCGGGGCCGCCTGGCTGGCATTTGCATGGCGTCGATGTGTCTACCTGTTTACAGTCGGCACTCTCAATGCCGGAGCTTTGCTTGACAAAGAAGCTTTGCTCTGTGCACTAGGTCCGGGGATTTGGACTGCGAGCGAAACTCATCACACAGCAAGGGCGGTTCCGATTATCAAAGGTAGAATGCGCAAGCGTGGGTTTCACATGCGTTTTTCAGCCCCAGTGGCCCCGTATACAACCGGGATTGCACAGTTGATAGGCTTGGCCTCTGGCGCATCGTGTTTCTCTGATCTGCCCATTCGTAGCTCTTCAGGTTTTGTGCCTGTTGAAGTTCGAGATTCCACACGTTTTCTTCATCCTTCGTGCAGGTATCTACTCATTGTGTTGTACAAGTCGTCACGTTGTACGGGCCACCCATTTCATGCGCACATTCCCAGCCCTTGCAAACATGTGCAGGCGACCTTAACACCGCATTGGACAGTTTGCCCACCTGGGCCATCCTTCGCATTCATGCATGGCTTGATGCAGTCGTGTGATCGGCGCAAGCGCTGCGACATCCATTGCAGCCAACATGCAGGGACGTTACAAGGCATTCTTTCTTGTTGGTGAACCCACGAGCGGCGCAGGCCTTGCGTGTTGCTGATGTTGTTCCTGACTTTTATGTCGACTCGCACCCATTGCTGCTTGGTTTTTGAGCTGCAGGTTTTCAAAGCACCCAGGTGGCAATGTTTACTCCCAAGACTTTCGATAATGCAACGTTTGATGCTGCTTCACTGGACGAGTTTGCCGCTGACGCTGCCCCAAGGTTGGCTCGTTCCGTTGCTGATTGCGTGCAGTCCAATAACTTGGCCAAGGGTTTCGAGTGCTGGGCGCGTGAGTGTGAGAATTTGATCATGAACTCTGCTGTTACGGACGATTGGAATGATGCGATTGCATTCATTGACACTAGGCTTCCCGATTTTGAGCCTATGCCTTATGCTCCATTTGAGGTGTCCAGGTGGGTTCGCATGCTGAAAGGCGTTTCATCCACGTCAGCCCGCGGCTCCTGCGAATTTTCAGTTCAAGAGCTCAAGTCAATCCCCGTTTCTATGCTGCCAGCACTGTTTGACCTCTTCCACGCACGCATGGAAGCAGGGGCGGCTTGGCCTGAAGCGCTAGTGTTTGCCTTCGTTGTGTGTTTGCCCAAAACAGACGGTACATGTACCGCCTTGCAAATCTGCCCAATAACCATCCTGAGGCGACTGTATCGATGTTGGGCACGCTACAGGTCCACGGAAATTGTTGAATGGCTCTCGTCAAAGCTTCCCCCGGCGATTGCTGGAGGGGTGCAGGGCATGTCAGTCACTGATATTACAGCCATGGTTGCCCATTACTTAGAGAGTTCTTTTGACCTGGGGTTGCCTAGGCTGGGGCTGTTGTTGACACTGTTAAGTGTTTCAACGCCTTACCGCGCTTCCCGCTACTCTGGATGATGATCCATCTGGGGATCAACCCATGTTATGTCCAGGCGTATGAAACATGTTGGCATCTTTCATTCGCACTTTCCTGGTGCGGGGCATGGCGGGGTGGCCGGACATAGCGAAACCGGATTTCCTGAAGGCTGTAGCATGTCCGTCATCGCAATGACATGCGTGGATTACTTTGCGCACGAGGTGCTTAGCGAAAACGGTACTTGCGCTTTGGTTTTCGCTGACAATTTGTCTTTTGCATCCAAAGCGCTTCATGCTTGTAAGGCCGCTTACCAGGTCTTAGGTCGGTTGTGTGATTCTTTCCTGCTCGAGTTGTCCCCCGAAAAGTCTTGGGTATGGGCCACTACGCATAAGTTTCGTAGGCAGCTGCGGCGGGTGTTGTACAATGGAGTGCGCGTTCCGCTTGCCTGGCATGCCAAGGACTCAGGGGTTGATGTTACAAAAAAGCATCTGGAAATCGCGTTTCCACAAAATGAAACATTCAATGACGAAGGTCCGTCTGCTTAAATTGTCCATGTGCTTCAAGCAGCAGCTGGCCTTTGCTCGGTGTTCTTCCAAGTGCAGTTTTGGACAGGCATTACTATAGGTTTTAAAGTCGCAGTTTAAATCATTGCGTTCTGCCACAGCTGAAGCCCTGGGGTGCAACGGCCCTGGGGAAAACGCAAAGATTGCGTTGGCATTGACGGGGGATGACTGCGACCCGCAGTTTCTGGGTCTTCTGCAGCGCTGTTGCTTTTGGTGTCGATTTCTTTGGAAATTCTCTGCCTTTCAGGAGGTCCTTAGGCTTTTGAACAAGGGCGGGTTTCCAAATCGGCCAGCCGGGCCTTTGGCACGATCAGCGCAGCTTCTCGGTTGGACGGTTGAGGGTGCTGCCTTGCTTCATCCGTGGCTTGAGTCCTTAGATTGGTTGAGGTGTACGGAGAAGTTTCTGCATTTTGCATTGTCGAAAAAGCTTGGATGCGAACAGTGTGAGCTGAACTAACAGAAAGTAGACCTGGTTTCAACTTGCATGCGGTCGATCTTCAAGGATTGTGGCTTTTGTTGTCGCAACTGCAGCCTAATGAGTTGGGCATTGTTAGGTTCATGCAAATGGCGGAAATTACACCAACGACATAGTGTCCATATGGGATTTGTCCAGAGACTCGTCGTGCCCGAATTGCCAGCTGCTGGACTCCAAGTTTCACCGTATCTTCGAGTGTCAGGCTTATGAAGGCTTCCGCTCAAAATTCCCTGGACGTTTATCGCAACTGCGCAGATTGCCAGAAGCTGTTTGGCGGTTTGGCTTGGTGCCTCTGTGTTCTGACGCTTGGCCTCTCCTCAAACAGCTACATGTGCAACCCCTGTGCCACGCACATCCCACCAGTCGCACTGCTTTGGACATCTTCGTTGACGGCTCATGCTTTTGGCCCGCCAATCTGTTGTCATCTTTTGCAGCTTCTGCAGCGGTTATTGTGGACATGTCGTGCAAGACCGATGGCACTACCCACTCGTGTGTTTTGCCAGGGTGAGAGCAGTCGAACGACAGGGCTGAGATATGTGCAGTCATACTTGCCCTTCAATTGTCTCAGCATTGCACTGTGTACTCTGGCTGTCAGTATGCTGTTGAAGCGGCCGGCGTTCGGATTGGCTGTTTGCGACAATCCTCCCGCCCACCACGCATGAAGCATGAAGATTTGTGGGAGGTTTTTGATTCTTTAGTGGCTGCGCGACCGGCGCAGTCGGTGTCCATCTTAAATGTGACTGTAACGACAGTGCTCCCAAACTTTTTGGACAAGCACATTGCGGATGCTGCGGCAAATCGTGCGTCGCGTGATTCAGCACTTTTCTCGTTCAACCAACTGCTTGTACTGAATGCTAAGCGAGATGAGTTAAGAAAAGTTGTTAAACAGTACCACGCTTGATCGCCATGAGTTCGCAAAAACAGCTGGAAACCGTGCATCAACGCGGTTTGATGTGTCCGTTTTGGATGCGTCCACTGCGTGTTTTTCGCATGTCGCTGATGAGGCTTTGAGGCTTTGCCCGTACTCGTATGAGTTTGACCTTGCCCTGTTGACATGGGCCAACGGCTTGCAGTGGGCTCACAACCATTTGCATGCGAATACATCAATGACCGAACTTCTCCTAAATTTCATCTTTACCACGGGAACGCGCCGTCGTGTGAATGTCAACCGGTTCCGAGTTGGCAAGCGACCCGCATATGCGATGAGGGACGGATGCACACAAGATTTGCTGCTCGAGGCATTCACGTTCGCTGAGGATTTGCGCACTTTTCAAGCTGCCCTGAAATGGTTCAGGAAACGTGTGAAGGTTGATCTGATCTACTCCCACGGGATTTCGTTGTCAATTGCAGAAGTTCAGAAGTCTGTACATCTTGGGCTACAGTCGCCCTACCAAAGGCATTTCTTACTGTGTACGTCATGCGTGTCAGCCTGACCCATGCGCTCACTTGTAAGATCGGTTTATATACCGGCTGCCGAGGCGAGTGCGCGTAACAATTACAAAATGACACCTGGTGAGTCTAAAGGGGCGCACTTCGAGATCCGAACGAGTCAACAATGCTCTGATCTCCCTGATTGCTCTCGCCTCTTGAACGGTGGGCACACTTGCTCCCTCAGCCGGACTAATGCAGTAGAGTTCTGTTGTAGTGTTTTGTTGAGATGCTTGCCTCAGAGAAGAAAGGTGCATGTGCAAGACGAGGTGATCAAGCAACCCAGGCCCACGACCGTCCCGTCTTACGTGGTGATCGTGGGTCTGGGGTGCTTGTGGCTGCGAACGAAAGGACTGCCGAGAGCTTGCGGAGCGGCTCGGAGAACCGCTCGAGCCGCTCCGCGAGCTCTCGGCAGTGATCCTGCCTGCATCTGTGCCGGCCTGGATATCTCAGATCTCAGAAAAAAAAGATGTGCCTCTATCTGTCGTTGCCTGTTATACGAAATATATTCTGTCAATGTTTGTAGATATTATTACAATATGTGTCTATGTCCAATGTCTGGCAAATGTATGTATATGTCTAATATCTAATGTATGTGGAGAGCTGTCTATGGTCCGACAAGCAGCCCTTACTTAAGCACAAAACCTGCCAACCAGCCTGAGAAACATCGAGGGCTGTGACCTGAAAGATTCTGTGGGCCTGCGGTTCTCGAGAGGCATGTTTGTGTTCGGAGAAGGGTCGACCTTCGCCACGTTGGGAGAAGCAGTTGCCATGACAATATGTCGTGGCTCGCAAAGGTGCTTCCTCTCGGCGACCGCTGCTCCACACGCTGCTCGTTTTGAGAGATGTCAATGCCCGCTGTTTCAGTGGTGAGCTTCGTATGAGGCATGCTCTTGCACAAAATCGAGTTCGACGGCCCTTGCTACCCCTTTGATCTCACAAGTCTCGTGGCTCCAACCAAGTCTTGTGGAAGGTTGTGGAAGCGGGTCGAAGCGGCCCTCTGAGGAACCACCAGCCTTGGTGATGTTGTGGACATGGTGGCCACCGGCTTTGAAGATATGTGGAATCCAGACCTTCTGTGCTATGACGGTGAGCTTGGTCGCATCTTCCATCGCAAGTGGAGTGGCTTGTCCTTTGCTCACGAAGTGGAGTACGAGAACGGAGAGGATCCGATCGGAAACTTCGCACCGATTGTGGAAAGGATGCGGAGTCTTGGACGCAGAGCTACCAAGACTTACTCGGACACCCAGCCGTGTTTTGATAGGGGCAGTAGCGTTCGGTGCAGCAAGGAAGCGGTACACTGGGAGAGCTGCTCGTTTCGACTGGGCCTGCAAGAATGCTGATCACGTCCTCTTTGTTCGGACTGGAGTTGCCTCGCGTGGAGAAGTATGTAACTTGCAGTGCCAGCCTCAATCATCACCAAGGGCAGAAAACGTCAGTTCGATTGAAGCCGAACTGACCATCATGTTCCTTTCTTTAGAGCACTACCGTTTGAGCAGCACAGTTTGCAAATCGAGGTCGCGGATGCAAGAAAGATATCCGGGTTTGAAGGCGCTTTGTCTGCACTGATACCCGCAGCTGCGAGATCTTATTCTTGTGCCCATCCCATTTCTCTTTTTACAGATGTGGATCAGCTTCATGGGGTTACAGGCTTTTGAGATTGGACAGGAACCGCTTGTCCGCTAGTTCGACGCAAATCGCCGGCCCTGACGGTAAAGTCGCTGCAGTGGAGCCATAACTTTCTAAAAGATTGCATGGACGAAGATGGAAGTGCCTTCAGATGTTTCATACCTGCGAGATCTTTGAACGGCCATCGTGCTGCCTGCAGCTGTGCTCAGGCGCGACTTCTGCTGATTTCAGAGCAAGAGACCTCCGAGTTCAACGGGCTGAAAGACTTTGTCCATGTCCGCGAGAGCTTCGATCCTGACAGGTGCTAGAAACACTGCTGTAGTCTTGGCAATTTCGCAACAATGACAGACCGTGTACCTGTGAAGGATGTATGAGGACATGAACTATTGGATAAACTGTGCAGCACTCAGACATCTCAGCTGATGATGCAAGCACCGAGTAGAGCATGCATCCAGCATCAAGAATGGCTGCAGTGGGCAGGTGCTCATCGCTTCAGGGGCATTTTGGAGTCTGTGGGTGTGACTGCACGAAGTCTATACTGGTGTCCTAATGATTTGAAGGAAGCAGAGAAGGAGATCTCGGGGGGAACTTGTGGGAACTTGCTGTCTTTTGCTTTTTTCCCGTCCCTCTCTGTGCACACTGCGGAGGAGCGGCAGACGTCCTCGGGAGAGGGATCCGAATCCTCCTCGCCCAAACCTGACTCCTCCAAAGAAAAAGCCGCAATGCAGACGTGCGCTGCTCGGTTTCCGGCTCCTCAGTCGCCTCTTTGCGCATACGATCTGGAGAATCCTTTCAGGTCAGAGGTTGTGAAGTTCTCGCATGCCAACCTCTACGAGTTGCATCAGGCACGCCGGGGGTTCGAGTTTCGCATGATTCGTGTGCCGCGATCGTGTAGATCTGCGAGTCGCGCACACGTGTGGAGGAGCAAATCAAAGCGGAGGCCATTGGGGCATGAGTCAATGAGTGTCGAGCCTAGCTTTGGAGCTAAGGCCATAATGTTAATTCGGGCTCTTCTTGGGTCGAGGCAGAGGCCAAGAGACGGCGAGATCTCGAGGATCGCACCAGGTGTCATGAGCCGGAGGTGCCCTCAGGCTTAGGCGCCGTCTCGCCTTCAGAGCTTTAGCCGAGAAGCCTATCTGGGCGTGCTGCCCATGAGTTTTCCCTTCTAATTCCAGTCGTCTCGTGCGCCATCCTTTGCATCCGGTTTCGCTGGCCGTGGATGTGCAAGGTAGGCGGTTTGTACAGAGACTATGGTCGTGATTGTTCCAGAGCCCAGAGAGATCGCGCACGTTTGCATCATCCCATCGCACCACTTTCAATTCTCGCTGGGACTTGGGAGCATGCCGCATGCCCGTTTCAATTTTCTGATGCCTCATGCAAGAATAGGAACAGGGGCTGATCCTCGGACCTGTGCTTCTGCACTTTTCACACGAGGTTTCCAATCACACAAGCAATTGAGGGGCCAGCAAAATCAGGGGAATCATGTTTGTGCAAGAATTTCTCCGGCAGCCAAATGTGCTGCCTTGGAGCAGGAGAATCTTGCACCTGCGCAGATCTGCAGACTGGCAATGACAGGGTCAATGTGTGGATCTGGGAAGTCACACCAACGCAGGCCGAGGACAGCCTCCGAAGCGCTGCTGTAAGCATCAAGTGCTTGCGGCCGCTTCCATCACGTTTGCACTCGTAGCCTTCCACTTTTCCAATCAGGAAGATGCAGCGAAGTGCGACAACTTCTGATTTAATATCTAGCTGGTCGGACTCGTGTTCTACTAGACCTGGAGCTGTTTCGGAAAAGTTACTGCCGTCCCAGCTTTGCGGAAACCGGATTTGCTCTCTTGCATCCTTGGCTCGAAAACAGCCGCTTGGCATGTCCGTTTCATGTTTTCGAGCACCCGAACAGTTCAGTATCTAATTAGTCTGAGCAAGTGAAGACAAAGATAGAGCAGGGCCGGCGAGCCTGTCATGGCGTAATCGGTAGCTGGACAGCCTCCTGCCCGCAGTGAAAGTGCTGTCTCTTCGCATAAGTTTCCTCAAAAAATTGCAGTGTTTTGCAGGTGCATCGCGCACGACATGGACCACAGAAGTCTCCGCGGAGATGTCGCATCCGCCTTCGGAGCCCGGCGAGAGGGTCGCCACACAGAAAGAGCACTTTGCCGGCATGGGACATGTTCCATGCATTTCGGGCCATGTGATGTGACAATGGCAAGGCCCGGAGGCAGCGGCCTTCGAACACTTTCTGCCGAGGCTTCGTCTTGTAGTCCACAGCGGCTCTCCTAGCACAGCTCTTCGACGTCAGGATAAGCTGCGAATTGGAAACCTCATCAAGGCTGGCGGCTCGGCATGCTCCGACGCCTGCCCGGAGGCTCCCTGTAAGAGACTGTGCAACGCCAGCCGAAACTTTTATTGCTGTGCGAAGCCAAGGTGCTGGCACAGGAGCGAAAGGACAAGGCTGGGGTAATTCGAGCACGTGTTTTGGAAAAACCAAAAACTTGGCACTGGACTGGTTTCTTGTAGGAGGAACTTCAGCAGATGTTGGGTCAGCAAGCGAGCAAAATGCAGGCTTCGTGGATTGCGGTCTCCGTGATGTCGTCACTCTGCAGCCGCATTGTTGCAGGACATGGAGCAAGAGCGAGATCGTTCCAGGAAGAAGGAGGCCGAGCTCGTTGGACGTCACTTGCCTGCAACGTCCCAGGGATGAGCCACGCTTAGGACCCAGTCATAGGAGAGAGCTCAGGTGTTGCCCGCTCACTCCGCTTGTTGAAGACGTGCCAGGCTCGTGTAGGAGCCACGTGTTATGAAGCGCTTCGTGCCTGTGACAAAACCATGACCGGCCAGACGCCATTTGCCGGACAAGGCCAAGAACCGACGGCGACTAGCCGATCCTTGGCCTCCGGCCACTTAGCCGTGAGATCTTGAGAGGCCATCCGCAGGCGGGAACCGACGCTGACTCCAAGCAACGCGACGACGTCTGGGGCCATCCAAGGGTGTCCACAAGACTCTCAAGTGCAGCTCACATCGGCTCATTCCAAAATGTGGTGCACGGCCCCAGGGTGAGCAGCCCACCCAGACGAGGACACAGGAGTCGTTGCGCGGATTTCGTGGCATGCTCGTTGCAGAGCTGGCGACTTGTCTAGGACTGCACTACCGTCCAAGCAGACCTTGAGTCAAGCCGTTGCAATGCGCTTCAAGATGCGGAGCCCCAGCATGTTGAAGATGTTGCTTGGCAGCAACCGCTCCACTTAAGCACGAGATGCAGGGCTTGGATGGGTTGCCAACATGTCGTGCCTCACCGATTTGTCAAGCAAAGGCTGAGCTCTCCACCCGGCCAGCGAAGACCCTCAAGGTGTTTTCTTTGAAGCCCCCTCAGCTTTCGTTGCTTCAGCGCTATCTGTCCATCCAAGAGGCCGGCCAACAGTTGTCAACTGCGTGTTTCAGCTGTTGAATCCGTACAACACAATGCCGGATGACTTTGGGCATGGCTGTGCCGTGGGAAGGAGTCTCACTGCGACGCGGTGCCAAGTGCGAGTGGGCCTTTGCCGAAGCGGCAGTGGACACCCGAACGAGCGAGGCCTTCTGAACTTCTGGAGCTCAGTCAAACAAGATGCCCCAAAGTGACGAGATGTGACAAGGCCTAAGTAAAGCCCGAGCCAACACGAGATCCGAAAGACCTTTCACTGCGTTCCGCATTCCATCTCGGCCCAACCTTTCCAAGCTCCGTTTGTGTACGTGACAGGCATCCAACTTTCATGGCAGATGCTGCTGTGCAGACGCCGCCAAGCGAAGCTACGCAGATCAGCGCAAGTTCACCGAGGCATGGAAACACCAGTTGATACCACAGGTCACACGGAGCAATTGGGGAGAAGCTACTTTTGACTTGGAGGCGGCGTGAGAGTCTTCAGCAGCCGAAGGCTTCGCCACGGCTCGAAGCACACCAGGTCTTTCAATTCTCAGGGCGAGATGTTCGTACCGGAGGTGGTAAGCCCACGGGTCATCCAAGATCCAAGCCCACAGCGGCCGGCTCCTCGGAAGAGTCACCTGGAACGTCGTCCAAGCCCCGACTTGTAAAGAAGCGAAGGAAGCGCCCGACACTGAATCTGCGAGGACCCGAGCCTTCCCCCCTCTAAACGAGATGAATTCGTGCCTCCTGCATCCCACCTCCGTATGGAAACTACCGGAAACCCGACACATCCCTGCAGATTGCAGCATGTCAAACTCGGCAAAGGCTCCGGCTGGGAGCACCGCGTAGATGGAGACACAGGGATCGCTGCAAGCCCGAGGCACCATCGAAGTGCAGTTAGCTCGCTCGGCTTGTTGTGCCAAGACCATGTCAGAACAGTTGCAACGAATCCGTGCTGCATGGCGACACGAGACGCAGTAATAATAGAAATTTAATAATATCCTAGGACCCCAATGTTTTGTCCAAATCTCAAGCCTGCCAGCGAAGGCCAGCGATCCCAACAACCACTTCGCAAGTGCCAGCTCGTGGTCCGCACAGGCAGGGATGTGGCGGCAATCTACAAATAAGTCCTGGATCCAGTTTGCGCCCTTGTGCACTTTGCCACGCATACGTCGCGGCTGTGCACAGCCCCGTTGGAGCATAGATCCAGGACCAAGTGTGTATACTTGCATAAATCTGTATACATGCATGACCGCATGGTGGTGCTGGCAGAGTTGTTGTGCTGTTTTGCCATGAAGATATCAACTTCTCTTCGAGTCTGTCAATCCTGTGTTGCTTCCTGGCCTTCAATGCCAGGCAAGCCTTGCCAGTCCAGCCATCAGCCAGTCGGCGCTACAACGTAGGAGTGGATCGTCCGGAAGCATGGGCAGCCTTGCTAGCTGTGCTGGTCCAGCCTCAGGAGCCAGCAGCCGGGACCGGGGAGCCCAAGCCAGCTTCGTTGCTCCGAGGAGAGTGACGGCCTGAGGCTTGGCTCACCGGTGCCGTGCACCAGGCCGAGAATGCGGCTGTTGGCTGTGCTGTTCGCTCTTGGCTGAGCTGATGTCTGAGCCGCCAGGCCGGGGCAGGACCCGTGCTACAGCTCTGATTTGGGTGGCAGCCTTGCTTTGTGTGGGAAGTGGCTCTGTGGAGAAACGGGTGCCCGTGAGGCCCGACTGGTCTGAGTTGGGCACCGTTGCGCCTGGACAGCTACTATGTGCGGGGCCTTAGGTTACAGTCCGCGGCTCACCAGCATGTCCGTGCGCCCATGCAGCCCAGGCAGCAAACATGTTTGATGTGATTGATTCCCTCGAATCCAGCCCTTCAGCCTGGGGATCCGAGAAGGTGCTGCCAGTCAGAGAAGGTACAAACGCTTTCATCTAAACGTCTGCAATGGAGGCCAGAAGTCAACCGGTGGCCATAGCAGAGGACATCTACAGCCGTTAGGACACGGCAGAACAAGCGTGTGACAGCCATGAGGAGCTCAGACGCCTGCAGCGAGAACTCGTAGCGATTGAGCACCGAGTTCAGAAAGGCAGGCCTTATGGGGTCCACAGCTTCCTTATCCCATCGCATCGTAGTCCTTGTGGCTTGCCACAGTTTGAAGGAATGCAGATCGGGCAAATGAGTAAATCCCGGAAAGGGCAGGAGTATTCGAGTACTGGATCGAAGCTGCATCAAGCTCGTTGTAGAGAAGCAGAAGCAAGGGAACGGCAAATTCTTGAACATCAAGACATGCCAAGCATGCCAAGGAATTCCTCAAATCCACTGCTTCCACCGCCACCAAGAAATCTCTTTTGTCAGTAAACAGAAGTAGTTTCAGTTTCGCATTCAGGCCGAGTAGCTGCACAGTAGTATGCCACGGAAGCTTCTTCATCGCATGATGCACACAGCAGAATGAGATGAACCCTCTAGTCGCTGCAGAACTTATCTCACTCACGAGCTGTTGCTCTTGCTGTGTCCAGTCCTTTCACCACTGCAGAACGAGTGCAAGAGGGCAAGATGGTTTCCGTTGGAGGGCTGGATGGTTGGATAGCCGTTTGGGTTGGGTACCGTAGGCTGTGGAAGACAAGAGGGTCAGGAGGTCAGGAAGGGCTGGAGGGTGAAAAGGTTAGAGGGTTGGAGGGACGGGGACGGAGGGAGATGGGGGGGAGGGGCTGCGTTGCATTGCGCTCGCTCTGCCTTGCGTTCGAGTCCCGATCCTGGGCCTGGCCATGAGGCTCCAAAGTCGAGTCGGCGCTCAAGCCCGTGAAGCAGGCAAAGAACCCCGGACGCGTAGCAGTCAGCTGCAGCTGTTCCGTGGCCATTCCCACATCCTCCTGGCCCTCATGTATGACTGTGCATGAGAGTTTCTCTCAGGATTGCCGCAAGGCTCCAAGGCTCTAATTTCTCCAACATGGCACAACACCCACCCCTCCTCCCGAAGTGGAGGCTGGGGCGACCATGGATGTTACAAAATACTGTTTTTGTTTCCAGATAGTGATGGCGCTCCTGCGGTCAGTATCGCATGTTGCTCTGTGTCCATTGCTTCGTGGTAGTTCGAGCCAAGGCCGGTCAAGTATCGTCTCCTTGGCTCAAGGCATGGAAGCACAGCCACGAGCAATCGTGAAATCTGACTCTGCCAGGCTGCAGTTGGGCATTGTGCCAGCGAAGATGAGCTGGACTGGAACCCGGACTGTCTGTGCTGAGGATTGAAGCCCTGTCTCGCAGGAGCTGTCAAGGGAGATCGATGATGTACTCCACCTCCTTCGAGAGAAGGTTTCGGACAAGACTCTGGAAGTTTCTTCTGACGGGCAACAGCGCTTCTACTGAAGAAGCATGCCTGCTGAATGTTTAACGCGCTCGGGGAGAAGTGCGCTTGTTGGAGCTGCTTGCGTGGACAAACTACTGCGATTCGTTTGAGCCTTGCATGTGACATTCAGTACACGGAATGGCTTCCTGCTGCTTCGCGTCCATTCAAGCGCTCCGTGTTGGTCTGTCGCGGGGTGAAGACAAAAACAAGTTGGAGGGTGTGCGAAACCCAGCGCTGCACGCGCGATCCGCAGCAGTATTCTCAGAAATGGTGAAGGAAGAAGCTACGAAGGAGTCTGCCATGGAAGAGCTTGAGGAACTGCACCTGTCTTGGAGACGTGATCTTTGCAGTATTTTCGTTGGTTTGCTGCTTGGTGCCGAGGTCGGAGAGCAAAGCAAATCTCCACAAAGAGTGCGATTTCTTCATTTCCAATTTCGAGGCAGGCAGACCTATCGGACAGCGTGACTCTGGGGCTGGCGAGAGAGCTGCTCTGGCAGATGTGTCAGTGCACATATGTAGGTTCGGCAGACGGCAAGATCCCAAGAAATGGAAGCCCTCGGCAAGGCAACGAATCTTCGGTGTTGGTGACATTGCTGCCCTATGCCCTCTGTCCGACCCGACTACTGACTACTGCAGTTCCGCCTGGCTGTGCAGGCCAAGGGCATTCTTTCTGGCGAATGAACTGGGCTAAGCGGCTAAGCTTCAAAAGTCTCATCCGAACATGGTCAGCCAAGTCGGGAAAACATGGTCTTCCAGCAGGATCCTTATCCGATTTTGCAGACCGGCCCCGGCGCTGAGCCCCAACGCATCCTCTGGCCGGCTCTGCAGCCAGATTTTGGGGTGTCTGGGGGGACGCGCATCGCAGAAGATCGCAGAAGCAGGATGGCACTGTCTTTTTAAACGGGAACTTGGGTGCAACAGGGAATCGCAACTGACAAGCAGAAGAGCACTACCGGCTGCCTGTGTTGCCGCTGCGAGCCCGGATGGGACAGCGCGCAAGTGACCAGTCAGAGAAGGTGGCCGAGACTGAGGCCTGAGGCCTATACAATGAAGGTTTTGTGAGACAATGTCGTTGTATCCAACGTAGCCCACGCAGCAGGCTGACACTTCCGCCTACAAGGACAAGGACACTTCGAGACTGTGCTGGAGAAGTGCCCCAAGCCCGACATGATGAGTTCCAAAGGAACAGGAAGCTACGAGTTTTCGGGAATATTCCAGCTGCAGTTGCATCGGGTTTGAGCTGTACTCAGCTTCCCCAATCTTGCGCTCAGTTGCCCGTTTGCCAACCACGAAGCAGTTGGGCAAGCATTTTGTGCAGCTAAAGAAAGAGGCTTGAGATTTTGAAGGTCTTAGCCGATGAAATTCAAGCCAGAAGCGTTCTGGGAAGAGAGAGCTCCAATCAGTGGAGAAGCATACTCGAAAGGCATTGATTGTGATGTGCCGCCTGCCTCAACTTTCCTCCCATCAGCGCTCCTGCTTCCGCGAGTCGGAGCCTTACGGGCTGCGCAGCAGGACCTTGCGGAACTTCAGCAGCTGGACGCGGCCTCAGAGGCACAGGTGAACACAGTGTGGCAAGACAGTGTCTGTTCCAGGCCGCCGCTCGTGGCATCTTGTTTGACAGCGCAGCACCAGGCAATGTCAAGCAAGGGCGGTTCCGTTTGCGGATGTTTGCGGAGGCTGTGGCATGTGCAAGTGACTGCATGCGGCAGAAGCTCACCAGCTTTGCATTGACAGCCTTTACTCGGCATGACAGTCGCAGAAAGTAGCACTGCAATGGCATCACACCACTGTGTTCTGGTGACGACTCTGTCGGGATGTGCGGCAGCATCCGTGCATTTGGAACCGACGTCCACAATTCTATCAGTCAAGCAAGAAGTGCATGCAAGGACAGGTATACGGCCGTTTCAGCAAGACTTGGTTCTGGGCCAAGAGAGCCTGGATGATGATGATGCCAAGCTCGAGAGCTACCCGAACCCATGTGAGCTGACCATGCTAGTGCAGCAGGCAGATGCAAGCTTGTCTCCAGCATTGATGGCTGCCGTGTCTGAGGGGAGTGTGGACATGGTGAAGAATTGCTTGCGAAACGGAGCAGATCTAGACTTCCGGGATGACGACGGCATGACACCGATTCTGCTGGCTTCTTGCACAGGCAACGCCTCAGTTGTGCGTTTTCTGCACGATGCTCGGGCCGATCTTGAGACGGAGATGCCAGATGGCTCCACGCCACTGCTGTTTGCTGCCGGAAAGGGTCATGTGGAGGTCGTGCAGCTGCTCTGTGAGTTCAGTGCAGATGTGGAGACGAGAAACTCCAACGGGGCTACGCCAGTCATGCACGCGGCGCAGGAAGGGCACATGGAAGTACTGCTCCATCTGTGCAGCCACAAAGCACGAGTGGACAGCACGCGGGTCGATGGTGCCACGGCATTGAGTGTAGCAGCTGCTCAGGGGCATGCAGACATCGTTGGATGCTTATGTGATTTTGGTGCTTCCGTTGATACCACGGCCGGGCAAGGTGTCACACCCCTTTTGTTGGCTTGCCGGGAGGGTCATCTAGACACGGTCCAGGCATTAGTCGACGCGAAGGCTGATCTGAATCTGGCGATGCAAACTGGTGTCACACCACTGGCCATTGCTGCTCATCTTGGTCGCACGGGCGTTGTAAGGCAGCTTTGCGAGTGTCGCGCAGACATGTTGGCATGTTCTGACGGGAAAACGCCCCTACTTCTGGCAGCGCAGGCAGGCCACGCGGAGGTGGTTCAAAGCTTGTGCGAGGCAAAGTGCGATCCAGACTTTGGGTCGCAACAGAGTCCTTTGGACCTAGCTGAGCAGCGTGGGCATTTACAAGTTGCTTTTGCCTTAGTTGCAGCCGGTGCGAGACGCCGCAGCCAGCAAAGCTGTCAAAGCTTCGACACTCAACTCCTTCTAGCGGCAAGCATAGGTGACTTAGACACTGTCGAGATACTCTGCCAGCATGTTGCAAACGTTGATGCATACGACAAAGATGGAATGACGCCTCTCTGTTTTGCAGCGCAGTCTGGTCACCTGAGTATTGCAAGCTGTCTCCTGCAAGCCACAGCTGACATTGATCAGCCCCGGCATGATGGCGCCACACCGTTGTGTCTAGCTTCACATCAAAACCAGATGGAGCTGGTTGAGTTTTTGCTTGTCAGGGGCGCAGAGAAGGATGTCCTTATGACGGGTGGGGTCACTCCTCTACTGCTGGCATGCCGGGAGGGTCATTTGAACGTCGCAAGATGCTTATGCGACAGGGCAGCTGATCCAAATCGAGCAATGTGCAATGGCCTGACACCAGTATGCATGGCTGCGCGCGCGGGCCACCTGCAGCTAGTTCATCTGCTTTGCGTGGCTAGGGCAGACTTGAGCCAGACTGCAGATAATGGCCTCACTGCCGCAGACTTGGCGACGGAAAGTGGCCACCAGGAAGTTGCCACATTTCTTCTCGAAGCATGCGGCGAGCATGCGAAAAGTTCTTACGAAGGGATGTTCTATTCAGCTCAAGCAGCTCAGGGTCAGGGTCGTGAGATGCCGTGTCCCGTGTCTCGAGAGCGCAGTTCCGGACAGGCTCTCAAAGCAGCTTCTTGTTGGCACTCCTGGCCGCTTATGATGCAGGCCCTGCTATGCTTTCACTATATTTCACTGCTGTCCATCAGTAGAACCTTCCCGGTCGACTGGACTGACTAGACCTGATCTTGCGAAGGTGTCGCGGCAACAACAACTGCTGCAAAGCATGTGCCATCCCGACAAGAGCCACAGACAGCAGTTGCTTACTTGGACACCGTTCGACTGTGCGGCATTATGCGGCATTGGGCAGGGCACGGCACTTCAATCGATAGGTCAAGGGCCAGCAGATGGAGGACAGCGTGGGGGTTTGTCAGAACCTCTGCTGCTCGCCGACCTCGCCTTTTTGCCCATTCCCTTGGCGTTTTCCTTGTCCAGGCCCATCTGTCCTGGAAGTTCTTCAGAGGATACGGCAATCCCCCGGACACATGGGCGTGGACATCGGCAGGGGCCCTTTAGCGTCTCCGTCTCGGAGCTCCTGGCCTTTCGGCATTTCAGGTGGCTCCCTCGTGAAAATGGCCATCGCTTTGCCCGTCTCAGCTTCTTGGAAGGATTTACGCCTCAACGGACCAGAATTTTCAGCCTTTCAATGAGCAAAACAGGTTGCGGGCGGCTACAACTTTCCATCGCGGGAGGCTGAGACGGTCGACGCAGGGGAGAGTCTCTTGAGCTGCTGTAGCTGAGGCGCTTCGGAGAGCAGTGCACTCAGCTTCATGTCGTGAGAGAAGAGCGAACAGGAGTTTCGCCTCTGCTCCGGCAGCTCCAGGTCGGGCTGCACGCACGGCCACCTGGAGCTGACGCTCTGGTCTTCCGGCACGCCGTTGCCTGCTTGGAAGCGAACTTGCGCGCCCGCACTTAGGCACCATGGCAGCATGCAGCTGTCTCAAATGCCTATGCCTGAGGTTCGTGGTGCGATTTGTCAGCGGAGCAACAAGCCAGTCCCGCTGTCATGCTTGCCGATATGGAGCGAGGCTTGCAAGCTTTAGGGAAGTGAGAATTTCACGCACAGCGCTGGCACTTGGGGCATGACGCATTTACGTTTTTCGAGAGCATGTCTGTGAAATTTGGCATCGTTGCATCTTCTTGTGCCAGGATGGAGCATGCTGTCCAGCACTTCGGTTTGCGCAGGAGTGTCAAACATTCCATCGAGCCAACGATTGTCCGCGGAATGCTGTGCGTCATTGCGTGCTTTAACGCGAAGAGGAACCGAAGCTGGGCCTTTTCTCGTCAAGATTCTGCGGAGAAGCTGGACATGCTTACAAGGCAAGATAGACTCAGATAGACTTCAGATGCGTTCAGCAGTTGCGTTTTGTTGTAAGTTGCGTGAGTTACGAGGTCACCGAAGTCGCCCTATTGCTCAAGTTCTGGGCACTGGAAGGAGTGGCTCCGTGATAGCATGCAGCCCATGTCTCATGCCTGTGGTGCAGGCTTCCGACTGCGCATCTTCCGGCCTTGACTGGGATGATGCAAGCCTGCTCCTCAACTCGACTCAGCGTTGACAATGTTTGAAAATCTAGGTGGTAGGTGATAGGACGTGTAAGTTCGCGCCGAGGCACCATTGACACTCTTGAGCTCCCTACAGAGGTTCCGACCGAGAGCCGCCGCCGCCTCGATGAGTCGCATGTTTCTGTAAATGAAATGATTCACGCTCTGGCCTGGATTTTGGCCAGTTCATATGCTGGGATATGCTGGGGACCAGGGCATCCGCGTGTGCGTCGCGTGGCAGCTGCTGGCGGCGGAGCTTGCAAGGCGTCCTTCGGCAAATTGCCACCGCTCTGGCCGTCAATGCCGACATTCCTGCTGCAGTTCGCACCGCTCTTCCGCAACTCTCTGCACGTTGAGATCGAGCCGGTCAAGGAGAGGGTTCAGCTTCCTTAGCTATTGCTAGGCCTATGCCAGTGGGTAAGGGTAGATCTTCAGCTCGCAGCTTAGGAGCTATCGGCTGTTGTTGATGGCCTTCTTCTACTCGCAAACTTTCGCGACGCAGATGGCCTGAAGACTTCAGCGAAGAAGAAGAAGTCGAGCGTAGAGCGGGCTCTCCTCTGCGCAGTTTTCCAAGGCAAGACTCGAACATGGCACAGCAGAGCAAGGGCATGGGTCTTGTATCGAGACTCCTAGTGCTTTGTGAGTCTGCACCGTCAACCGTGAAGAAGTGGGGCCGAGGACTTGTCCCACTGACCTCTTTACGACAGACGAAGTGGGCAGGCATTGGAAGGGAATCGACTCTGCGTGCACACTGCGAGTTGGCTCGAGTCTTTTCTCGAGGCCATCTCCACTGCCGTGGCCAAAACAACTCTTTCCGCTTCTTTTGGTGAACATGGGCTCAGGCGCCCCGGGCTTCGGACTCCGCTTTAAAAACTCTGTTCTCACTCAATTTCTCATTGGCGTTGTCTGTGTTGTCTCTGAGGAGTGTCGATCCTGAAGGTGGATTCCGCCAAACGTAATGCCAACGCCTGAGTCTACGTCGCCGCGTTCGTGTGTTGGGCGGGATAAGTCAAAAGAGCTGCCATCCCTTGGCACAGTCTCAAGTCTCAACTTAGCTCGCCTCCTGCGTTATGTGAGACGGTTTCAGCCACACAACATGGTCAAAGAAGAGAGGACTACACCCGAGTTGGTGGAACAGCATGTGGTGGAGCAACATTCCTCGGTAGGATCCCGAGCTATTGCTGAAAATTCTTAAATTGACCTTCTCGGCCGAGTGTGGATGAGGTTTAGCAAGAACATTAACATCTGCAAAGACCTTTGAGGAGGCTGCGCTTCTGCCGATGCCTCCTGTGCCACATTCTAGTACAAGCCCAGCAGCAGGCGCTGATGCTTGCCGAGCGTGGCGATGCATCGAAAGCCGACAAACTCGCCCGGATCTTGTTGACTTTTTGCAAGGCAGTCTGCATTGCGTGCTGGAACTCAAGAGTGGTGATGCCAGGTGCGAGACATCTACGGCGAGGATGGCTCGGCCTCACTGGGATTAGACCGGGGCTGAGGAGATCTGCACAAGGGAGCGAGATGTGTTCTTCCGGCTTCAGCATAGAATCCTGAAGGCCGGCGGATTGACAGCATCAAACTTTGGCAAGCACGAGCCTCTGGACACGCTGACACACTCCGGTCGTGATTCTTAGAGCTTCTGACTCAGGCTGAGTGACTTGAGCCCTGCTGGTGCAAGGCAGGCCGCATGGCAGCCACGAAGTGAATGATTGGGCCATGCTGGGCCGAGGTGCTCAGAGTACGACTTAGCAAGGTCCCTGCTGCAGATGGCAAGGGGCCTTGAATCAAGACTGAGATGATGATACACTGATACACTGTTACAAGTGCTGCACACAGTGACTGCAGGTGACACAGCAGTCGGTCGTGCCCCAAGCTTGTGCTGGTTCTTACCAGCAGATTTCAGTCACAGTTGTGGCATCGTGCTACATGCCGCAAAAGCAAAGCCACCCACAAAGCTTCATGAGCTTCATGTAGCAACTTGTCTCGTCTTTATCTGCTCCAACTGCAAGAACACTGGCCCTTGCACTGCAGCTGCTCGCGCACTGACAAGAAAACGGATGCGAACGTATGCCGCATCAGGAGGTCAAGATAAACACCGTGCCCGAAAACTATTCCGCCGGGGAGTGCACGTAGCATGCAGCATGACATCGCATATCACATCTTTGTGAGAGTTACCCTCGGACTGTTCATGCTTGAAAGCATGAAGGGCTTCACAGCGGGTTGATCATGCAGGTCATGCCAAGACATGCTCTTGCGATTTGGCTGAACCTTTGTGAGGTGTTGCTGGCAGCAGCGTTTGCGAAGCACGCAGATTGTGCACGCCTCAGTCGAACTCCTTCGCATGTTGCAGTTTTCGGGGTACCGAGTCAAAAGCAAAAGCCATCGGGCAATCGGCCAAGGCCTCGACAGAGTCTTCTTCGTTGGTGGATTCATTGACGAGCCGCATCTTGCATGCATGGGTGACGAAGCAGCCTTGGTGCGCTTGGGTGGTCATTGGTCATGGCTTAGAGGAACCGGCTTGCACGAGCTGCCATCGCGCAGAATTTCCGATCTCTGGGCGGCTGTGCTTACTTCTTGAGGCCAGTGCCGGTGCATCTGGCAGAGAGTGCAGTGGCACATCATCAGAGCTGATCTGCTTTGCAGGCACTCCGATTTTCTTGGAGCGCTTGGCAGCCTACACCATGCTTTCGAGGACATGGTGACGTTTCTCCTTGACCGGCTGTGCTCACGCATTGCCAATGTCCCTTCATGCCGTGGTGATCACCGCGGTCGGTGAAATTTCGCGTTACTCGTTACTTTCCATAGCTTTCGCAGGGTTTAGAGCTCGACTCTAAGCGACGGCAGGTGAGTCAGGTTGGCCGGTTGGCAGGGCAGTGTCTGTTTGGAAGTCAGCTTGAGCATGAAGTCCCAAGCTGGCCGTTTCCTCAGAGTCTCAAAGCTCTCCCTGCCAGTCAGAGTGCCGTGGATGCTCTGTCGTCCTGGGTGGCCTCGTCTTCTTTCGCCTGACGACACCCGCACGTCCACGCGCCAGGGTAACGGTTTTCATTTCCAGAAGTGTCGCCGCATCACGGCACCCCCGGAAACTCTGTAGCGTTGCAACTGCCTCAGTGGGAGGAGCTCCTGTCTGCCTTTTTTGGGTCGTGGCTGCGTCACTCAACAGCAGCCATCGACTGCCTCTGCCTGCCAGTGTAGAGGCGGAGCAAAGCACCAAGCACCTTCCCTGATTTGCTTTCGAGGTGCAGTTGGGAAGCAGGCGTGTTTGCCATGTGTGATTTCTCGAGAGCCACTTCTGCTCGCCAGGACCTGGAAGAGCATGTTGAAGGGCAATAGCCAAGCTGCTGCCGATGGCCGGCAACAGCGCAAGACCCGCGCCGAATTAAGCGTTTCCGGTTCATTTTGCATGGTGCTGCATTTGCAGCCTTTCTCTGTACTGTAAAGCTTTCAGTGCACTGCGCTGCATATAAGAGCAACCGAGGAGTTGCAGCAATCATCTTTTTGGGCTGGCCTTGACAGCACAACCACGTTTGTTTAATGCGTTGACGGCTGTGGGGCATGACCCAGCACAAGGTCTCAAGGGTGTTGCAAGCCTCAATGCCAGCCGAGTGCAAGATTGGCTTTCCAGCGGTTTGCAAAAGTGTCCCTTCTTGCCTCCTACCATGTGTGGCTGCGTCGACAGTCTAGGTGTCAGTTTTGCTTCAGGTGGGACGAGTCCAAGTCTCCTGAAGCAGAGTGTGCTGTATGTGCACAGGGAACACCGCATGCCTTCAAGAGTTGATTCAGCTGTACAGGACCAAATCTCTCTGCGGGTAGTACCGACCTGCTGTATAGATTCTAGATGATTTGTTTCATGGTCTGCAAACAGAAAGAAAGCTGCAGCAGTAGCATCATGATGTCAGGTCGTTTTCTGGACTGAGTCAGCTGGGACAGTGCTGCGCCTTCATGACGTGAGCATGGCTGTTTGTGTTCGCTACACGGCTACTCATGTGTCCACCTCGCGATTGGCCCTGGATCTTCGACCGAAAGTCTCGAAGCGAGATTGAAGAAAGTGCCGAAAAGGGTGTTGTGTAAGCCTGCTGGTAATGTGTCACGAGTGTCTTGGGAGAATATCAACACATCTGTGATGGCACGGGCTCCGGGCCGCGCTGGCCCTGGATTCTACTATGCGAGACTCTCAGAAGTTCCTTGATCGTCGACTTGCTGAGTTATGGAGGAGTGGGCCCAGCAAACGTGCCGGGGTGGGCCTGCTGTGGCGAGGTAGTCATTCCTTCAAAGCCAGAGGACAAAATGTACCAGGTGCACGGTCCTTGCATTTGCACTGCGCCTTAAAGGCAGAATCACAACACCAAAGCAGGTCTACCACCCGGAACGATCAGTGCGGTACGAGGACTTGAGCTTCATCAGAACAGTGAGAGAGATTCTCTTTCACAAGGCCGGGAGTGTGGCCTCTGCCTGTCGTAAAATATGTAAAATGAAAATCTAACTGCTTGCAGTCGAGCGTTGAACCAGTACTTTCTCTCATCATGCGGGAGCCGTGTATTTTGATCTGGAGCCGTTCTGCTCCAGACAACCATCGGAGGATGTTCCTGGTTGGCGATGGTGCCACATCCATTCTCTGGTACGCACACCTGGCCCGAATGTGTACGTGTTGCGATTGCGATTGCGATATTGAAGGGCTCCAGCCTGTGCATACTTAGAGGCCTTATCGGCCCTCCAGTCGACCTCGGCGGAGGAGCGCGAGAATTCGTTTGGTAAGCGCAGGGTGTTTGTGCTGGGCCTTTTTTTGGGTGGGCCCCGCGAAGAGACGCTCCACTGTTTTTTCTGGCTTCCAACTGCCAGTGGGCAGCTTGGAAACCTCGCGTGCTCTTCCCACCGTTTCGTAGTTGCATGCCCATTCTTCATGGCGACCACGATGGTGGCTGTCCGCACTGTCACTGTCCACAACCGCGTCCCCGCTCGGCGTAATTCCTGTGTGGCCCTTTTCGAAAGAGCCCGGCACCTTGCTCCTCATACTCTAGGAGCCTAGGGGTCATGACCTCACCAGCATTTGTCGCATCGAGCGTCCCTGCCGCCACAGCCGATGCAGCGTCCATCAACTCCGTCGCGTCCATGCCAGATGCAGCCGCTGGCTTGGCTGCTCTCTTGCGTTGGCGCTTGCCGTGGCAGGAACAGCGGAAACTGTCCGTCTGGGCGCACGAGCATCGCCGGCGGCACGAATCGCAGCTACCACCAGTGTCTCTCGCACGAATCGCAGCTACCACCAGTGTCTCTCATCGCACGCCACTGGCAGCACTGCAGTCGCTTGGGCCTTTGTGTGCATGTTCGATGCCAGGGAAGCTTGTGTGGAATGGCAGGTGCCATGCCACTCATCCTTGTATGGGAAGCCTGATGCTTTCAGTTCTGAGGTGTATATGCTTGTGATGAGACGATGTCGTTTCGCTCGCATTTGAGCCTTTGGGTTAAAGGGATCCGGGTTCTTTATGCTTGGGGAGGTAAAGAGACTGTCTGATGATCTTGTCTGATGTATAGCCAGGATAGTTTCCGCCGCTGCAAGTGTCTCTTGAGCACTTGGGTCCCTTCAGCACTGTAGTCGCGCAGGTGCCGTCACCCGTGCGAGTTTGGCCCTGATCGGCTCTGTAGTGTTTGACCCTGACCGGATCCTCATCCGTCCCCAGTTGTCGCAACTTCGGCCTTGACCGCGACTTGTGTAGAAGCACAAGAATTCAAGCTAAGAAATGTGTGCGTTCAGATCAGCGTTTTAAATCACTGGGCCCAAAGCTGTCATTGTTGCGGTCCGTTTGTCATTAATGAGAAGTGAGTTCCACAGATAGGACCGTTCCTCACGGCTAAATCGACACGAGTGTCGGATTTGCCGCAAGCGCTGCAGCTGCCCTGTCAAACCTGCGAACGGAGCATGCTTGGCGATAGGGGGTGGTAGGAGCATATAAGAGCTGGACGTGCTCCGGGGCTACGGCCGTCTGTAAGACCTGCGAGCGGCAAACCCCGACCGCAAAAACATACGGGGTTGGAAGTGATGGGCTGCCCATGTTCAACATTGGTCAAGGAATAGTCTTTTTCGTCCTTGCCAAGGGTAGCAATGACACATCGTGGGCATAGCTTGCGATACTTTCCGAGTATAGCGTAAGTTCACCCCAACATTGCTAGTACTTTCCCTTTTGCTAGCGTGCCCCCCTCAGAACCCTCAGCTCAGAACTCCATTCAGCCTCGTCTTTTTGTGCAGTTGCTGCGCAGTTCTTTGTAGCCGCATGTGCTGTTAAAGGTGTTCGCCTTTGGAAAGTAGAAGCCAGTGAGAACTAGTGACAATGGCATGTCAGAGGAAGAATTGCACCAACGAGTGGGCGCGTGCGTGCATGTGCATGCGTGTTTGTGGGTTCGCCGGTTCTTGAAGAACAACGAAGACAAGAAGAGAAGAGCGGGAGAGAGACAAGAGCGAGAGACAAGAGCGAGTCAACATCGGAGGGAGTCGCTTCCCGTGGCTGCAGAGACGATCGCAGAATTTTGAGGGGAGGGGAAGGGCTGACCACGCAGGGGCACACGAAAAGCATCTTGGGATGGGATTTCGATGACGTAAGATTCGTGACTTGACTCCTCTGCCAGGCTCAGGCTCCTTGCATTGACGAATATCGGAAGAATCTGCGCAAGGACACGGGCGGGGTGAGACGAATATAAACGACAAATCTAGTGCAATGCGTCGCAAAGACAGCCGTGATGTGAAAGCAGTTGACACTCGCTGGGCTTGCAGGATTTGTTCGACTTCTCCAGCCTGCATCCCAGAGACGTTCTTCGACGAGTGATGACGAGTGCTCTGCACCGCAAGCTGTAGGGTTTCCGAGGCGAGCCACAGGACAATGACCGAGCTGCTCCCTAAGTGAGTTGTGCTACGTTGTGTTGCCATGTTTCTGTGACAGCATGCTTGTTTGAGTCTAAGGAGGTGAGGTGCGGCGTGAAGGAGGAGAAGGAACAAAGCATGGCCCGATGGTTCCCTTGTTGGCTCTCGTCGCTTGTTTCGACAGGACCGAGTAGAAGATGCCTTGCGAAAGATTGGGGATGACCAGCTGGAGCTCTTGCAGTCCATGACCTCCCTCAAGGCAGGCCAACGCACTCACAATGGTGTAGAAGGCGGAGCTTTTGTCAGGGTGTCACTTTGGTGGAGCCATCCAAAAGTCCTGACAAGAAGGCTTTTGGGCCACGCTCCTCTGACATGCGTGGTGAGACTGCGTACCGTAACCACAGGGGGTTTTCATGTTCTACGCGAAGAGCTCCGACAATCCCGTGGAGCACCTAGGGACCTAGGGCATTACTTCGTGACCAGCAGTATAGAACTAGATGCATGTTTGCAGCAAGGTTAACTCACGTGCCGTGGACTGAGACACTTTTGTCCTGAAAAGGCTACATGTCCAAAGACATCAGGCATCAAATGAGATGGTACCGAGGCCATCGATCTATGTTGGACGGCTGGGCTTCCGCCGGAGGAATGTGTGTTCCTGCACTCGATTAAGCCTTCTTTTCAAGTCCCTTGATCAGGAGGTGCGGGGCACCTGCATTCTCTCGCGCACTGAGGCACCAAAGTGAAGTGCGATGTGCGGTGAGCGTGCATGCCAGTTGGGCGAGTTGACAAGGAAGTGGTTGAGGAGTTTTGCCGCGATGCCACTTGGCGCCGCAGGAATCTCAGAGAGCAGCCTGTGATTTGTTATGCCAAATCCTATCACGCCAAGCTTGAGGCTGTGATTTCACCTTAGATGATTGCGCCTCCCATGCTGCATGGCTCCAGGAGTCCGGTCATTTCATGTTCGCATTGCTCGCATGATCTGTGAATCTATGATTCTATGATTTGTGTAAGTGCCTGTTGTGTTCTTGCAGGATGCTCGTCAACGTCGAGTTGAGCGGAGGGCTCGGCAACAGCATCCGGCAGAGGTTGCCCTCGAATTGATGCTGTCAGGTCGGGCCAGAAGCGCGAGGATGATTCGAGATGGCCGGATCGTGTAGCTTCTGGCAGCTCTTAACTTCAACGACACGGGAAAGTACTGATGTCTCAGCGAAGGTTCGCCAACTTGGCCGATTGTGAAGCACCAATGCCGGGCGGCGCGATTGATGGAGCAGCATCGTGCTCAGACTCTCGAGTCCAAGGGCTGCCGCTGCTTCTCAGACTTGGGAAGGTTTGGAAGCAAAGCGACGATGAGATCGACATTTGCTTCGATGCAGGTCTCGGGATTGCAGAGAGAGCGCTTGAGAGCTTCGGACTGCCTTTTTGTCAACCCTCCCAGAATCGTCAGAAGGAGTCAGCGAGCGCAGTACTACTTGGACCCCTCAGATCGGGGCCTAGGATCAACCAGAGGGTGTGAGGTGGATGGGGGTGGCGACGGGCTTTATTACTAAGAACTTAACATTACGAGCCACTTGTACCCATGCTTCCTTCACTGAAATTCCAACAAGGCCGGACGTTTGCCCCGGTCGGAAGTCCTAGCCCCCGTGAGACTGCATGTTTCGCAATTCCGGGGCTCCAAAAATGCATTTTTCACGGCTTGAACTAACAACGCAATTGGATCTGTTTCAGTTTTTCAAACGCCCCTTGCTCGAAGCCCCGGACCAAATCCACATGCATTTTCCAAGGCCTGTAAAGCGCATTTGGCATTCGTTTCAACGAATCTAAAGCTCAATGTTGTACCTAAACCCGAAAATCGTACTGCAAATGCTGTAGTTTGGTCTGCAGGGCCCAAAATGCATGTTTTCAAGGCTTGGCAATGCATTTAGAGCTGTTTCAACTTTCTGGTGCCCCTGGCCCCTGTCTCCGAACCCAAATCGAGCTCCCGAAGCCTACGGCCAAGCCCAAATCAGTTTTCCAAGGCTTGCTAAACACATTTGGACCCGACAATGCAGCCAGCCAGAAACTGCTCGAATCCGTTCCTGGAGCTCCGACCAAGAAGCGCGCATACATTTTCCAAGGCCTGCTAAACGGCCGTTTCGGCAAATCTGCCCCGTTTAATGACGTTCCTACATCCGAACATGCTTAAAGTTGTGATCCAGCAACAACCCATGCGCTGCTCAACTTGCGCTCTCGGAGCTCTGCGCAAACCCAAAAGCATTTTCCGAGGGCTGTCCATTGCATTCGGCCCTGGTGGCCGCCAATCTTGTGGCCGGGCATGGACAACCCATCTACATGGTTGTAAGCTTTTCTAGTGCCTTATAATGTGAGCCCAACGACAGCCGTTTCGCTGTCGGGAATGATCAGGAAGGTTATTTATTGAGGCGGGGTGGGATCTTAATCATTGAGTTTCCGGCCTCGGGCGTATTCTTTTTCGGAAATCACGAAAGGTAGCCTCCGGGGCTAGCGGAGTTTCTTATCAACCGAAGGTTGCAACAAGGGGTGTGGGGAAAGGGGCCCCCAAAGTTGAGTCAAATGGTGCCGGTTTCCCCGAGCTAGACTTCACCTGGAGCTGCATTTTCCCGCCGTGGCCGACCCCTCCATTTCGGGCATGAAAAAGGGAGTGTTTCGGCTTGCCCTGGAACGGAGAAACCAGACGCCAATGACGCCTCCTCCGTGCAGCACTTGCGTGCGCGGCCAAACAAGTCCGCTTGGCCGCCTCGGCTTCTCCACTGCTGCTCTGCCCTAGCTTTCGTCCCAGTCCCTCCTCCACAAGTTTACAGCACCGGCCATTAAGCAGCCTTCTTGCTGACTTGCACGTCGGGTTCCATGCTCTCTGCTATACAAGCCACTCGAGGACCTTTCGCAGGAATCCGTGCGACGAGACGAGACATCAATGTGCAGTACACAAAGAGGAGCTGCCCGCGGATTGAATGAGTCGTTTATACTAGGATGGTGGCGGCATGGTCTGCTCCTTTCGAAGTATCTTCCAAGCTTGCAGCTTGGTGTCCTTGAAGGACCCTATTCGTGCGATTACGAGGTCGAGTCCTGTGCAATGCGGAGCTGGCTGGTGAGGCATGATCACATGTTTCACAACCTTATTTCAAATTGAGTCGTCTCGAAGAACTTGAGAAACAAGGTTGATCCCCAAGGCTGCTGCTGGACGTTTGACCGCGATCGATATGCCTTGCAGGCACCGTCGTCCAGATTTGCTCTCGTGACACAGCCCGAAGGCTTCGGAACCTAAGCCAAAGCCCTTGGCCCTTGATTTGAGGTGACGCTGTGTAAGTCGAGAGCGACGGCCTGGGAGCGACTGATCAGACGCGAAGTCCCCGGCAAGGCCCGGCCTTGGCGGCTTCCGGTTGACACTTGGGCAGTCACAGCGGGCCTTGCCACGGAACACCCCGGAACAACCCCTTTACTGGAATTCAGAACGTGCAGCTGAGCTTTATCGTATGGCACTCCACCTTGGGCAACTCATTACATCGTCGGAACAACCGGCGCTGGACCTCTCTTTGCTTGTTGCAATCTTGCGGTGTCCTGTGAATCGTCGGGCAAGCTCAGTCTTGTGGACCAGTGTGTTTAGAGCAGGGCCATGGGCACAAGGAAGTGCAAAGCAACTTCCCGGCCTGTGCTGCCGTGGAGTGTGGTGGAAGGAGATTCCTGCAATGTGCATCGCTGTGTGAAACTTGCTGCAACAGCATCTTTCCGGCCAGGAGATCCAAGAGCTTGTTGATCGGCAGAAGACAAGGTTTTGCCGAAGGACGCCGCGGTACGTGCATGAAATTCGTTGTGTGCATTTGCATTTTGTTCTGCCTTGTGTTGCAGTTGCAGCCTCTCCTGGAAAAGTTTTCAGTGCAGTGCACTGCGTCTACCAGTGATCAGGGAGTTGCAGCAAGCAAGCCGTTCTGCGGCTGGCCTTGACAGCAGACCTGAACAGTCTGTGATACGATGCATGTATCAGGTGACAGCCGCAGCTACCTAGGTCAACGTCTGGCCCGTCGTGCAATGAAGAGTCGCATTCAGTTGTACAGGACCGATTCCTGCTCGGTAAATTGATACCGAGCACTTGTATAGGGGCGCTTGCCACACGTAGTTTCCGAAGCAGTCAAAAACATTGAAGACGATGACAATCGCATGTATGCAAACATGTGCAGACGATCCCATTAAGATGCTCGAGGCTCTGGGCGAAACACTGTTGACTGAATCATGTCTCTCCCTGCACATCTACAGCATATTAGCGTTTTAGTACGATATCGGATGTCGGAGCTCGCTGTAGCGGCCTCCTAGGTGTGGTGGCAGGGGGAGGGCTGCGCACTGTAGGCATCTATAAGGAGCTTGCAGCTCGGGGCTTGCAAACAGGTACACAGCAGCTACAACCGTGTATATGGTAAGATCATGTCAGCGGCTTTTTGGTGCCTTGCCAGGCAGGTGGCTCAGATAAGCCTTGGCCTCATCACCGAATCCTGCAAGGCTCACAGGGCATTAGGTCATTAGGTGTAGTCTCAGAGTGAACACATAGCCTGACATAGCCAGATTCAGCTCCAGTCTGCAACCAGTACTAACCACACACAGCACAAGGAAAGGGCAATGTCCGCAGCATGCCGCCTTGTGGAGAAGGCAGGTGCAGCTGAAGCGACTGGCTGGCTGCGCGGGCACAAGTCGCAGCGTTCCGCAGCTTTGGAACGTGGTGTGTTCCGCATCAATCCTCTTCCTCTTCCCCCTTTTAGTCAGAGTATTTGGCCGGAGGCTGCGCCATGGGCCTCCGGGCGTTCCTGCGACCGAGATCCAGGCAACATTTTCCCGAGGCTTTCGCAGGCGTTGAGCTCGTAAGTAATAACTGTCAAGGCGAACCGAGTGCAGGGAGCCTCGTCCAGAGGCTCGTCGAGCAAGTAAGTCCTTTTGTCTGCGAATTCCTTTCTCTGGCTGTCGTGCATCAGATTCCGAAATCAAGGCTTCAGACCAGCAAGACGGGGAAGGCGCGCCGAAAGCCAAGCAATCCGTGAGGCCTCTCAACTCCAATGCTGCTCAGGAGCATTAAGTCCCTCCACACAGCCAGACGTGCCGCTGGAAAGCATGGCCTCCGGCTCAGCGACATATTTGACTTGACCGCTATGCGCCGGTTGACAGCTGTCTGAAGACCTTCGAACCTCATTATGCAATTGGCCTGTCCAGGCTATAGTACTCTGAGTTCAGTGATCTTGCCTCGCGAACCTTGCATGTAGAACTGGAGCGGCCAGCAGAATACCGGATGCAGCGATGTTGCCTTGAGCCTTCTGTCAGGTCAGAGAGGCGATGACGCCACACCTGGCAGCCTTGCAGGAGGGAGTACCGGGCAACCGCGGGGTCGTGTGGGAGATCGGTTGGAGTCCGAGGACTCTGCGTGCACATGTAAGCAGACTATCACTCGTCATGTTTGAAGTCTGGATGTTCGTGGGTCAAAAGCAATATCGAGAGATCTCGATGTCTTAAGACAAGAGTGCATAGAGCGTTCTTCCTCGCTTGATTGACTCATGACGCATGTTTGCAAGATGCTTGACTTGAGCCGCTGTGCGGGTTAAGGTGGATCAGGGTCGTTCTTCGGAACATTCGGAACTCACTTCGGCATAGTGAAGCACTTGAGCCTCGTGGTCTGATCTACAGTTACTCAACCCAAAGCACGCATCTTCAATCACGCTGCAATGACTCAAACACACATCACACAATTCAAGACGTCGGAAACTGTCCTACCACACATGACATGCAGCACATGCACTTATGCGGGCTTCCCAACTCTTCGCACTTCTGTGTTTTCTCGCATCGGTGACGATGGGGTATGTCGGTTCGTCCTGGGTCAGTGTGTTGCAGCGGTGTTTTCTCTCAGTTCTGTAGGGGCACCCAGGGTAATGCCATGTCATGTAGTAATGTAATGGTTTCTCATGATCATGCTCGCAAGCCGATGACTGCTGCAGTCATTATGGTGTCAGCTTCTTCATACTCAACAAGCAGAACATAGCCGTGTCTAGCGGCAGCCCATGTCAGAATTGGAAGGTCCTGAGAGTAGGCTTTGTGTTCGGCGTGCAGGAAGATCACCAGACATCGGCATCGGCAAATGTGCGCATGTCGACTGGAATGAAATCAGCGACCACACCAGCACTGCAGGCATGTGAGGAAAGCACGAGACGTGGCACGCGGTGCACCGCGGTGAACTTCCGGAATGGGGTCGGATGAAAGTGCCGAAGGGTGTGCGAGCAGGCTTGCTCATAAACAGAATGGGAAGTATGCAACTTGGACTTCATCCTGTAAGCCGAATCCCTCCTGCCATGGGTCAGCAAAATTGCATTGTAAAGTATAGGGCGACCACCACCTTCTCAAGTGGCTCTTCCAGTTCCGGCACGACGCGATTTCCAGCAATTCCCAATTGTCCGAGTCTGAAGAAGATCTTCTGCACCGAAGCCAGGAGGCGATCCTGCATGAGCTCGAAGGTGCCCAAGAAAGACTCCAGGTGAACTCAGCTTTGGTTTGTGTAGTAGCACCGACATAGATTGTACATAGAACCCCAGTATTGAATTTTCCCGAGTTATACCATACCACGGCTTGTTGTGTGCCTTACATGAACAGGCATGAAAAGCGAAGAAAACAGCTAGAAGCACATCGCAACTGCAATGTTTTCTTTCTCGCATGGGTGCGCACAAGTGGAAGCCTTTCGGCCCCTCGTCTCGAGCTTCAAAACTCGACGATGGTGTGTAGCACGGCAGGTGCCGAAGTCTCCTGTCTCGAAGTTCGCCCGCTCCCAGACTGCGGCAGGGCCCAGCGAAAGCGGAGAGCTTGTGGTGCACTCCTGTCAAGTAGCCAGTGTCCGAACAGGCACCAGCTCAAAGCCTCCTTGCTTTGGGACAGTGGACGTTCTGCTGAGGCGACAGTGAGCATGGACGTGGCGGAGTCAGGGCCCATAGAGGAACATGCCTCCAAACACTGCGCTGTGTTTGGAAGTACCAAGGCCTGAAACCTGTGGCAAGGCAGGATATTTTGTATGTTCAGTGTACGATGTACGTCTAGTGACACAAGTACGCATACATACATAGCACACACACATACATACACACATACACACATACACACATACACACATACACACATACACACATACACACATACACACACACATGCATGCGTGTATGCATGCAGGCATGCATGTNNCATACATACATAGATACATAGATACGCAGATACATAGATACATAGATACATAGATACACAGATACATAGATACATAGATACATACATACAGACATACATACATACATGCATACATACATGTAAGTTATGTATGTATGTATGCATGCATGCATGCATGCATGCATGCATGCATGCGTGTATGCATGCAGGCATGCATGTAATGCATGTGCGTACGTACGTACTTACGTATATATGTATTAATGTGTATATGTATCCGTATGTATGTATATGTGTACTTACCTGTATTCATGCATATGTACTGTGCATATGGATGTGTATATATATATAGTATGTATATAATATGAAAGAAACAAATACACACACTAAAATCAAGACTGGCTAAACAACAAGCACAATGCAAAAGCACGAGTAGTTCTGAATATCCAACCTGGTTTTGCAAGCACTGGAGCGGAGGAAGTGTCGGACAGCTGCCAGGCACATCCCTCAACTCGCTTTCAGAGGCTCGCTCACCAGTCTAACTTGAGACGGACTGCCTGCATTCGCGTTTGCAAGGCGGTGGACAACATCACTGCGCTCCCTGCCTGTTGCCACCGCCTTCGGACTTCTTCTTGCCATGTGTGTTCTGGCGCATCGCCATCGACAAGTCCCTAAATGAGTTTGCAAAGCTATCAACTGTTTTGGCCCTGCTGTGATATCGGAGCTCTTCTTCAAGCAACGGCAAGAGACAAGCGACAGACTGTACACGCGCTAGCCGGAGGGAGGTTAGACATGGGATTGCAGGCACTTGACAAGGAGCTAATGGGAGCTCCTGGACTGTTGCATAAGGCCCGTATGTCCATGCCCTTCAGAATCAAAACAGCAGCAGCAGCAGCAGCAGCAGCAGCGATGACTGTGTCAGCAAGCAGTCGGCGGGTGCGAGACCATACTAGCCGCTCCGCAGCTGAGATCTTCCAGCCACGTGACATCCGCAAGTCCTCCTTGAATCTTCGGGCAATTAATAGCTTTCGCCCGTCGGAGCAGCTGATCACAACTTGTAACAAGAAGCTTGCACTTTGTAACGGTTGGGGACCTTCGTGATTGCAGGGGTCTTGGTGGAGCCTTGACGACGGCCTGTTTGGACACGTCGGTCGAGCACAACGAAGTGCTTGAGGAGCAGGCCACGCAGCGGTTAAGCCAGTTAAGCTCTCGCTGCGGCATTGCCGTTGTGTTCGCAAAGCGAAACCGAGTGGCTGGAGGATGCGGACTTGGCAGATCCACTTGTCGACGGTGGCGTCCTGCCCCGAAGTCCCCGAGACCGTGTCTGTTTTGGCTCCGTTGTGCTCCGCTGTCTAGAGGCTGTCAAAGACGGCTCCGATGGCCAGCGCAAGCCGAGCCGCATCACTTTCGAAGGGCCACTGCCCCGGAGCGTGAAACCAAATTTCAGGTGCAGTGCAGTGCTGTAGAGCATGCTTCCTGGTACAGCAAGATGGTGGAACTAAGGTTAGAGCAGCAATCTGGGTGTGACGAGCCAGCAGCGCCCGACACAAGTGACGAGGACTGATGCGGTATCCCTTTGATGTTCACCCTGCATCAGTGCTTCAATCCGCTTGTGCTGCCTTTTCTGCTGAAGGAGATGCCTATGGCACGGCAAAGAACCGGTTGTGGCCTTGGAGGATGCGGTGTCGAGAAGCAGAAGATGAGCATTGCGAATTTCCGGAGGCAGTGACACATCCTCCGTGAACTGGCTGGCTGCCCAGCTTTGCGATTGACTGCTCCTGCATGTAGTCACGTAGTCGATGCGCATAGTCTGAACATGAGTCGCACGACCGCACATCTCGAGAGCTTGAAGCTTCTGCTCGCAGTCGCATGTCGCTCTGTCGCTCTCAAACGGTGAGCTCGGGTGACGCGGCCCTGAGGCGCGCAGACGCCCTCGACGTTGGCGAGTACTGGGCCGCAGAAACTGCTGCAAAGAAGGCTAGGCTTGTGTGGGAAGGGACCGATCTCTGAGAAAGCAGTGACAAATGGTTCAGGGGAAGACCTCCATTGACTCCATCGTGGCTCTGGTCCGTTTCCTTTGGCTTGTGCTGATCGGATTTCACGATGCTTCCTGGTACTATCCTGTATGTGCCAGCAGCGATGAGACCTATGCGGATACTGCCATACTGGAACCTGCCGTTTTGCAAACTCCGCCATGTTCGGTAATGTTTGACAAGTGTCTTAGTGGCCGCTGCACGACTGCATGGCGAAGGTGCAAGCTGAGAGGGAACGATGGGACGAGGAGAAGGAGGTTTCGCAGTGTCTTGCGGTGAACCTTGGGTTGTGGTTGGCATTGAGAAGGCCTTGGAAGCCAACATGGAGGAACTCAAGGACTCACAAGCTTCACAGTACACGAAACATCATGAAACCGTGAGCTGGTCAGTTGCGATGACCTTGACAGGAGAAACTGCGGTCTATGCAGGCTCTCAAGCGGATTTGCGTGTGGCATGCCGTTGTTCAACAATACTAGTCGATCTTCCCGAAAGCAGTTTGTGAGACGGTGCTGCAATACCCCACTCAATCCGACAGGACCGCTGAGGCCTATAACTGCACTCGATCGCAGTGGCTGCGTTGTTGCTGTGCAGGCGGCGCGAAGCCCCGATGCAGAGAAGCAGGATGACACATGCTCTGCCGAGAAAGATTTGCCATCTTCTCTCCGTCAGCTCCGGCGAATGCAGGCCCTGAAGCGCGAGCACCAGGAGTTGCGCAAGGCTAGAGCTGACCTGTGACCGATGTGAAGCACATGTTACGAGCCGCAGGTAATCAAAGCGCGAAGTCGATTTGGTGCTTGGGTGTGTGTTTGTGGCTTAGGGTGTCCTGGAAAGGACGGGTTGATACCACAGCTGGTATGTTGTCGCAAAGTTTGTTCATGTTAATCACTTGAGGAACGACACATGAAGGAAAGTGAAGATGAGGCGAGCCATGCCAGTAGTGTGCTGGTGGATAGTTTCTCTGTGCGGCCCAGGAGACGGATACGGAAAAGGAGGACCGCCAGCGCTTTGGAATTTTTCTGCGAGGAAGTAGACTACTTCGTTCAGCCAGTGGGCAGGCGTTGCGACGCAAGATCTCGGATCTCTTTGTGAGACTCCGTGCAGCGTGGGTCACAGAGGGCGCACTGCAGAGATTAGCCACATTTGCTCGCCGAGTGGTTGCGAGTCTGCAGGCGAGAGCGGCGGCGGGCGCGGCCTCCAGCGAGTCTGATGTTTCACCCACCAGAAGGCCTGCAACCACGTTATGTAGAGCGGGTGCTAATTGCTAGTGGACCGAAACCAACAGCTAACTCGAACCCTCCTTCAAGCAGCTTCTTTACATGATATGAGGCCCAGACGGCCGAACTCGGATCGACAATAAAATGCCCCCCCCCCCCCGCACTCAAGAAGATAGTTTTTGTTGAAGGCTCGGGCACGTGCTTCAGGATGCGGCGCCGGCAAATGCAATCCTCATTTGCCAACCTCCCATTCACTCCCTTTCCTCCCTTCCCTCCCTTCCCTTCCTTTATCCCGCTTATTTCCTGCTGCGTCTGTGTGTGCTGGACGTGCGTCGCATGGTTATGGCGAGGTGTCCCGGTCCGACGATTCGCCGAAGGCAGTGAACCTCGCTTCCGTGCGATGCTGGGAGCCGAGGGCTCTTTGTGGCATCCAGATTGGCAGGCAGGCTGTTTCTGTTTCTTTGCTGTCATGTTCGCATGGAAGGTGAAAGGACCAGCTGAAGTCTCTTTGGCATTTGAAGGAAAAATGGTGCGAGTCATGGCCGAGGAATCTGTGCTCGTGCGTGCTCTGTCCCATATGACATCGGATGGTCCCGGCATCCCGGCATGATGCGCTTTGCCTGCACAGACAGATGCAGAGTGCGA